TGGAGATTAATTAGTACCAGAACTATGCAGTGAGCTGAATAAAAGATATATTTGAAGGACAGAATTTATTTCTTAAGGTTAACTCTTAACATGAGCTGAAATTACAGCATAGTGTTGAGCTCTTGCATGTATTGGTTTTTGAGGTATGGGAATATGTAGGTTTGTTCCATTCCCCAGGGATGGGGATTAAACAAAATATTCGAAACTATTTAGATAATTTTTTAAAATTTGTTCAGATAATTTTGATTTCTCATTATTAACACAAAGACCCTCATTAAAAAATAAAAAATAAATGTGTTGCAAGGTTCTGAGAGTAGGTGAGTTTGTTGTGCTAAGTGTCTTTAAAAAATAATAAAGTTGGTTCATTTCATTGCTTACACCATCTATTAATCATGATTTTCTTAATGATTTCTTCACGGATTCATTGGATAGTGTACTTTTTCTGAAGAAAATAGACAAATGTTGGCAAGATCACTGCAGACAAATGGTAAGTTTATAATTTTAAGGAAAACCAGTTGCTTTGTCAGCCTGTTTTGCTTAATTTTGGGGTTTTTTTTTCCCAGACTTCTGAAATGTCTTAAATTTATGTAAGGTTTCTTTGTTATATACAGCTCACAAATCTGTATCTACATCGTTAGAAATCAAGCCTTGAAAATATTTGCCTGTAGTGTATTTCTTGGCATATGGGCCTGATCTTGGACACACAAACCCCCCTAACTCCTCATTGCCAGTTTTATGCAAACCTTTCTCCTTTATACCTATTCTTAAAGGAGCTCTTCTGTTATACAGAAATATGCAGAGTGTCACATTTATGACCTTGCAGGGATTGGCAGAAGATGTTAAATAAATCACCAGTGTCCAAAAAAGAACTGCCTGAAACTAATTGGTGGGATTTCTTGTTGTTGAGCATAATTGGTGTTGCTCTTCAGTTTCAAGAGTAAAATGATTGTTGGCTGTTTTATTCCTTCTTGTGACAGATTATGATTAGAAGTATCTTTCTGTTCTTGGATCGAACCTACGTACTGCAGAATTCAATGCTGCCATCTATTTGGTAAGGGCACAAAGAATTAAATTATTTGGGGGGCAGAAATACAATTATTTTGGGGTGTATTTCAACTGATTTCAGTTGCTGATTTTCAGATGGATTTTTTTTTCAAAATAAACCTCATAGTGACCTGTAAATTACATGGTGAATGCACAAGTGCTTCTTGCAAAGGAAGACTTTTAATTTATTTGCCATAAATTATAGGATTGTTCTGGAATAACTATGATCCCAGATTTCAGTGAAGTAGATATCAGCCTCCAGTTTGCACAGTTAAAGGCAGGGGTCTGGTCAGCAACTGAAGTGCAAGGGTTTGGGGTGCCCAGTAACTGCCTTAGCAGGCACAGTATTTTAAGTTGGAAAGAGTTACTAAAATAAAAGCAAGATAGGCTTTTTTGGACTTCACTTCTGCTCATCATATTATTAATTACTATATGCCTTATGTTCTTTGGTACCTGAATAATTTTGCAGGAGATTGATGCAGGGCCTGACTTTCCCTAAGACTGACCATACCCATAGTTACAAATTCATGGAAGGCTTTAACTGGGACAGTCATCCTTGTCTGTCACATCACTGAGTTCTTCTAAGCTGTGCCTAAGAATTAGAGATGAGTAAGTGATGGACAAAAAAGGAATATTGTCCAACACCATAACCATAGAATTGGAACCCAGGATGATATTTTTCTTTTCTCTTGAAGGCTGGTGTTCCAACATCCTGTCAACCAACTGAAAAATAAGGATGTTGCAAAAGTTACACGGTTATTTAGGAAAAATATCTGTATTGATGTTTAAAATTTGTAGCTTCATGTTGGTGCAGTGTCATGGTTTATTCTAGTGTTCATATATTTCTTCATCTTGAGTGATTTGGAGGCAGAGGAATGAGGAATTAGAAGAGTGCTGATATTGGCCTCTTTATTAGATCTAGATCATATTTTAATAAGAGATATCTAGAGTTTGTTCTTTAACAATTTATTGAGCAGTCTTTGCTTTCTGTGTAGGGATATGGGACTAGAATTGTTCAGAACTCATATAATCAGTGATCAGAAGGTTCAGAACAAAACTATTGATGGCATTCTTCTGCTGATCGAGAGGGAAAGAAATGGTGAGGCTATCGACAGGAGTTTGCTGCGAAGCCTTCTGAGCATGCTTTCTGACTTGCAGGTGAGTAAACCTGTTTCATCTTTAAACCAGTAAATGGCTGAAATTCTTACTTAGTGCTCAGTAAGCTTTACCCTGGGTTGCTGTCGTGTTTTTCCCCAGATCTATCAGGACTCTTTTGAACATAGATTCTTGGAAGAGACTAATCGTCTGTATGCAGCAGAGGGACAGAGGCTTATGCAGGAACGAGAGGTATTTCGGATGTTTAACAATATTTGTTGTGCCTAATGTCAAAGCACGTGTCAGGAAGTAGAAATGTTCTGCTGCCTTAGTGTACAAGGCAGAAATGTGACCTTTGTTTTATAGTATTCTGAAAAAGGGAATGCACATGCAGTTGCCTTCAGTCGCTGTGCCAATGATTTTTGCTTAAAGCTGGAGCTGCTACTTCTGTCAGACCTGTACTGTCTCTCTTTTTCCCTTCTTGTGGTTTGTTTTCTTTAACATACAAAACTACTCTGGCATTTTCAGGTTCCAGAATATCTTCACCATGTCAACAAGCGCTTGGAAGAAGAAGCAGACAGAATAATCACTTATTTAGATCAGAGCACACAGTAAGTGCAATCTCTCTTTGCCTGGTGGTATGAGCTGTTTGGCTCCTCTCCTGTTGAGGGCCGTTTAAGTAGCTGCAATTTATTCCTGTTATTGACTGACCATCAAATGCTTTTCACTTCCTACAGTTCTATATTTACAATGAAGCGCTGTCTTGGCTTACACAGCTAATAGCCTTTTCTTCTAAGTCACTGTTATTTTGGCATAAATGTTGTTAAGTATTTGCTTGAAGTATTTGCTTGAAGAAGAATAGGCTGCTTCTCCCAGCCCAGATGTCTCTTTCCTGCTGAAATGTAATTAATTGACTGTTATCCTACTGAAAATGATAAGACTCAGCATAGATTATTCTAAAGCTAAAGGATCTGAATATTTGCAAAAAATATTTGCATATGGAGTCTGGGAAATTATTGAATAATGTCATTCTTCAATCTTTTCTACTTAGAGGCAGGATTTCCTCCAACACAGTCAGGTGGAGGCCTTCTAACATAAAGCTACAGCTGTTGTGCCTGAGAGAAAATGCAGGTCACTGATATCAAGACCTTTCTGAGAAAGAGGTGTTTTATTGCTACTGTCATACATTTCCTTTCTCTTTCAGCTGTTAAAAGCATTTAGCTTGTTTAGTGGCTTCCTTCTTCCATGCTAGTATTAGTGGCCAATTCCCTGTTTTGTTTTAATACCTCTTGACTTGAGGTCTGGTTTTATTTCTCCTTGGTTTGTCTCCCAAGACGTGAATGTCTTTCCACAACACAGGATTAGGCATATTATTTGATGAATTTTCTCCAACTTCTTCACTGATGGAATCATTGTCCAGCTGCCTATAGGTCATGTACAAGAGGCTTATTGTGTGAATTAAAATCATCAGTAAGCAAACAGGAAAAAAAATTGTTTACTGGAGAGAAAAAGGATAAATATGTGTATAATCATTTTAGGTCTTTGGCCACACGTAATTAGAGCACTCTCAATGATAATGTAATTAACATAATCTCAAAAGAAGGATTTAAAACTGTCAGTAATGGAAAAAGGAAAAGTAATTCTAAACATTTCTTCTGTAGGAAGCCACTAATTGCTACTGTAGAAAAGCAACTTCTAGGTGAACATTTAACAGCCATTCTTCAGAAAGGTAATCTTTCTTCTTTATAGAAATGTTTCTAATTACTGCTTTGGGGCTTTCAGTTCCTGTGCTGAAAGAAAGCGATGGATTCGGGTGCTGGGGGAGGACAAGCTGCATCATTCCTTCACTCCCTTTGCTCCTCAGTTCCCAAAATAGCACTGGCCGTTCTCCTGGTTGGAGATAAGGGGACACTGTGGTGTCTTCTGATAACACAGCAAAGCACAAGGAAAATTAGAACAGGAGACTCAAGCTCAATGTGTTAAGTGGCATTTTGAAGACTTGGAGGTAAAGAAAGGAGTACACTTTGAATTATGGCTGTAACAGAAAAGGGAGATACTGAGTAACTTGCTGCTGACAAAAAGCAGCTTGTTTTAAACATGTAGTATAATTTGAACTATGGAATACAGTGCCTCAGTTCTTCAATAATCTCTGTGGAGTCAAGTGACCCTCTGTTGATCTCAGAGATAATCTGGAAATAGAAACAGATGAAGCAAGAGTTGAATAATAAATTATCAGGTCTTTAGTAGCCAGATTCTGAATGAAACAGGTATGTGAGCATCTTCCTGCACATGTGTAACAAACTCTTCATTGAGTGGAGTATCAATGTTTACCCATCTACTTTATTAGAATCTTGCTGTAGAGCATCAGACCTTCTCAAGAAAGTTAAAAAGTGGTGTTTTTCTTCACAATGGTGAAGATATTTCTTGAAGCTGATTACCTTCAGGCATCTGTAAGATTTATTTTACAGCTGGAGTTGAGAATCAGAGCTGTCTTGCCAAGGAACATTTCCTACAGATCAGTGTAAATTTTTCAAATCTTTAGGGGATAGTAAAGCAGAAGTAAGCAAAGATGTTGTGATAAGATTGTTATGTAAAGTACATGTATCATAAGTGCAATAAAATCATGTGCAGTAATAAGATTTTTAAGGGTTCAGCCAGATATTTTGTGTTTCACTGTTAAATTAGGTACTTTAAAATAAAAAAAAAAAAAAAACCACACCACTAATGGTTTGATAAAAAGTACTAGTTTTGAAGAGGCCTCACTGTAGTAATAAGCTGTGCTTTCTTTGGGTTACGCTGGTATAAATTTCTGTTGAAATTCTCACATTTGCAGGTCTAAATCACCTTCTTGATGAAAACCGAATTCAAGACCTGTCTCTTCTGTATCAGTTATTCAGTCGTGTGAGAGGTGGAGTGCAGGTTCTCTTGCAGCACTGGATTGAATACATAAAGGTACTGCTCCTAGAACTCTGGAACAGATAGCACTGTTGTATCAGTGGGGTTTATACACAGATACTTGAGTCATCTCTGTAAACTATTGCATTTTTCTTAGAATTGAAGATATTTGCTTATAAACGTGTATTTAATAGACAGCTTTTGAAACATCTCAGGAAAGGTACAGTAACTGTTCTAGCTCTATTGAAGAACACAGTGAACATTCAGTTGAATTATTGAACTCCAAATAAATTTGGATTTTATAATCTTGCTTATAGTTAGTTTGTGGGACAACTATATTTCTGCAGTAGTTATTTGTGTAATGGCAGAATGTTTGTTTTCTTCCTAATAAAAGTTCCTGTGAGAATGAGTGGTAATTCAAGTTACCAATCAACTGAGGTTCAAAAAACACTTGAATATCAGTTAGGATGATTGATTTTATTTCTCAGTGGAAATGTCACAGAAAATATGGTTGTTGTGAAGGAAGGCTTTGGAAAGGCATAAGAGTACTATTAAATAAAACTTAATTTAGTGGGAGCATTACCTGTGTAAAACCTGAGGATATAGATGATTAAAAAGGGTGTCTTAATTTGTCATGCAAAACTTCATTTCTTCAGACAAGTTTTGAATCCACTCACTTTTTCATCAGTTGGTTTTGAATCAATATGCAAGCCTAGGGATGACTATATAGTAAATACTTCATAATACAGTAATACAAAATCAAGTAATACTTTTGTTGTTAGTGGAACTAATATGAGTACCAGAAACAGCACATTAAAAAGGTAACATAAGATTTTAGAAGTCTTGTCATTTAAATTAATTATTCAGGCTAATTGAAATACATGTTTTATTTTGCAGGCATTTGGTAGCACCATAGTAATTAATCCTGAAAAAGACAAAACCATGGTCCAAGAACTTCTTGATTTTAAAGACAAAGTTGACCATATTATTGATGTTTGCTTTCTCAAGAATGAGAAGTTTGTAAATGCCATGAAAGAAGCCTTTGAAACGTTCATTAACAAAAGACCAAATAAGCCAGCTGAACTCATAGGTATTTTTCTTCAATTTCTTTCATGTGAGAATTTGGGTGCTGAGTTGCTGATGCACTTACAGATGGGATGTGCTGGAATTGTGTGTTAATAACATGCACAGTGCACATCAGAGTGGGGATCTGCTGCGCCACCTGATGCAAGGGAACTGTTTGGGAGGGTGGCATCAAACATGAAAAGCAAACTGGTCGTCACTTAACTAGCTAGGCTATAAAAAAATGCAGAACATCAGAATTTGGGCATTCCAGCAATTAGCTGATGTCCAGACATGAGAATACTGCTAATAATGAGAATTTTTCAGAAGCTTACATAACTGTGCCACCAGCATGTGTGCACAGAGCTGTTAGGGGTTTAATATGTGAAGAGAAGAGAGCTGAGGATGCACTGAACCTCTCATGGTGTGGGGACAGAGTCTCTGGTTTGCAAAGAATGTTGCTTACAGATTTGTGCATTACATGCCTGGTACTCTGCACTTTGGAATCATTTCCCCACACAGTAATACCTGCTTTGCAATTGGATGTGCTGTTAGGCTTGTGGAGTGATACTTTCTGCCCTCCTTTTTTTGTATTAATTCCCTACTTGTAATGTGCTTAGCAGCCCATTTGAAATTAAAACAAACAATCTAGTTTGATTGAAACTGGAAATTAAAACAAAATTATGATATGCTAGAGAAATTCAGCAGTATAGTCAGCACATTTAAATAACTGATTTGCATATTTTCATCTGATCTTTTTGCTTCTATTACAGCCATGTCAATTTGCAACAGCAGTGACTTTACTTTGAGATCAAATATAAACCAAGATTTTTTTTCATAGGCAAAATGTTTTTAGTTAAGATGCAGTCATTGCTTATCTGAAAAAAGATACTAGGCTATAATGTTTTTATATACTTTATAGCCTCTATGGAAGTGTATCAAGGTAGCTGTTATGAGGCTGATAGAAAGTGATTTCAGGATCCTTTCAATTTTCAAGATTTTATAACACTAGATTTAGAAGTTTTTGTTTCACTGTGGTATTTAGCATGTGCTAAACTCTATTCTTCAACACTTTTAGCTAAATATGTAGATTCAAAGCTTCGTGCAGGCAACAAAGAAGCTACTGATGAAGAACTTGAAAAAATGCTGGATAAAATTATGATCATATTTAGATTCATATATGGTAAGTATTGCGGGTTTTTTTGTGGGGATACAGTTGTTTAACCAGTAACATAAAGGTACTTTGAAATTATTTTTGCAGTCTGGTTACATTTTCAAGTGTTTGTTCTCTGTGGATGTGTTTTGTTGGTTTAGTGCTGCTTAACTACTGTGCCTGTCAAATTGCAAATAACAAAAGCTGTGGAAATCTTCATATGAAGGCCCTTTTTGTTTTTCAGAGCTTTGAATTGGGTCTGTTGTAGGTAATGTTTGTTTAAAACCTGCAGTGCTTTGTGATCACTTTCAAATCTCATCTCTTACAGGAAAAGATGTCTTTGAGGCCTTTTATAAAAAAGATCTAGCAAAGAGACTATTAGTTGGGAAGAGTGCATCAGTAGATGCTGAAAAATCTATGCTTTCCAAACTCAAGCATGGTAAATATCTATCTATTATTTCTATCCATCAGCTTTCTTTTTAAAGTAGTTATTTTAACAAGCCTTCACAGAAGTGCTGTTGTTGGTATTTTCCCTTTCCATGAGGGCAAAAGCCTCTGTGTAGGTCCTGAATGACTGGTGGGTTTTGAGGAGATTCATTTGCTTTTAGTTTTAGTTTTGTAATTATAAAAGGAAAAACCAAAACTCAGGAACTTAAAAGTGCACAGGGTATCTTGGCTGTGGGATAGAGTTGAGGTTCCTGCTGAGTAAATGATGAGTTTCAATTGTTATTCACTGCCAGCTAGTTGTTCTCTAGTCTGGTCTTCATTGTTTCACTGGATGGAGTCTTTGGGTGGTAAGGGTAAGATTTTTGGAGCTTGATCTTGTTCTGCCATCAGGAGACAGTTTGAAAGGCAGCTGATAGGGATTAGAATTATCATCTGAGTGACCAGTGGCCACCATAGTCAAAGGAATGAACAGGTCCATGTGGAAAAATAACTGGGTTGCAAAATAGCTACCACTTCAAAACATCTTCCTTTTTCTTGGTTGTAAACTTATTCTGTTCCTTAGTTAGAATCCAGGTCTTTATGTAAGAAAATCTGGTGGCAAAGGTCATCTTGCTTAGGAGTACATTCTGGCACTTAGAATAACTACTCTGATGTGTTGAAAATAAACAGATTATTTTTAATATTTATGTTTTCTCTTTTATAGAATGTGGAGCTGCTTTCACCAGCAAACTTGAAGGAATGTTTAAAGATATGGAGCTTTCAAAAGACATAATGATACAATTCAAACAGGTACTGAGGGAAAGCTCTGTTTGTCCTGTCTGTGCTTTTGAAAATTTTACTGAATTTATTAAAGGTTTTTCCTGAGCAAAAAAACTGAGACACGCTTCTTCAAACAAAAAACCCACAGCAATAAGAGAATTGTAGACTTACAAAACATTTTAACACCAGCTCTGAGACGTTTTTAACACCACTGTATTCTGATGCCTGGCGTGGAAGTTTTTGCACATTTAGTTCTGGTGATTTTGTGATGTTTTGGTTACAATTTTTAACATTCTTTCCTCCGTTCACATTCCTTCGCCTCAGCCTGCTAAAACACTACATTTGCTGTTTTCTTCCTGTATGGAAGTGCCTTTTGAACCTCAGAAAAGTGCTTGTTCTTACCTTAATTTTCTTGTATGTAACTTGCAGTGTATACAACAAACATTTCATGTGGTCACTTGTCTTTTCTGCTCTTGCAATGTCTGTTCTAACTTTTCAGTTCTACCTGAAATAAGTATAATTAACATAGCTCTATTTCAATTCATTTTATTTCTCTTTGCAGTATATGCAAAATCAGAATGTCCCTGGCAACATTGAACTAACAGTGAATATTCTGACTATGGGTTACTGGCCAACCTATGTGCCTATGGAGGTCCACCTGCCCCCAGAGGTAATGAACATCATGGGCTATGCAAGTATTGACCTGTCAGAAATGCAGCTTGGGATCCACTGACACTTGGTTTTCAATATGCATAGCGTGAGAAATGCAAAATTCATCCTTTTAACATGAAATTTGTTTTCTTGCAATTCTCTTTATCATTCGAAGCCTTGATTTCAGGCTTAATTGATTGTGGAGGAGGGAGGGATGCTTTTAAAGTAGAAATTGTGTTTCAGTGTTTTGGGATTTTTCTTTCTTTAGATGGTAAAACTGCAGGAGATTTTCAAGACCTTTTATTTAGGAAAACACAGTGGTAGGAAACTTCAGTGGCAGTCAACACTAGGACACTGTGTACTAAAAGCAGAATTCAAAGAGGTGAGTCTATTGTTCCTATTACTCCTGTTGTGTTGTTGATTCCAAGTCTGGATTGTACCTTAGGGATATATGGGGAAGGTTTTTTGTGCTGTAATGGAAAACTAAACACTTTTTTTGCAATTACTTTTAACCTCCTGCTATCTTTTCCAGATATTGGTAGTTTCTGAACTACCAGAATTGGTAGTTTCTGAAACAAATATGTTAATGTCTAAGGACATGAACCCAATTTCTGTATTGGTGGGGAAAGAAAAGCCTGTTGGGGAAAATATCCACTGGTTTTTGCTCCAGATTAAAAATGGCCCTCATTTTTATAGTGGGGATGAAAAAAAGGGGGCTGGTTTCTTCTATGGCCTTACTTCATCTGATAGCATTAAGTACCTTCACAGGAAGTTTTTCATTACTGAAATAAATAAAAATTCTGGATTGGACAAGAACGCAACTGTTTTGAAAGTGTTTCCAGTTATTCCCCTACAGCATATCTTAATGGACACAAGATTTTCTCATGAAATAGAAATGCTTACTACTTCAGTTTTCAGAAAAAGTTAATGGTAAAACAAGTATTATCAAACTTGATTGTTTCAAAGATTCTATAGTTCCTTATACTGTGTTCATTAAACTAATGTTTGTGTTAGATTTTGACTTAAAGGTCTTTCAAATTGTAATTTTAAGCACTCAGTGCTTTAAGACTTGTCTGGAGTCATCTGATGCATATCTTGGGTGAATTTTGTCCCCGGATAGAATAGTCCAGCCTTGTGGCCTCAAGCTTGTGGTGCATTTCATTTCAAATACAAGTGACTGGTAACTTCTGTTGTTCCATATTCTCAAGTGAATAAAAAAATAACACCCTGTTAGTGAAATAACTGACATGCAAGAGTGACTTGTTAATCATGTTCCCCTCATTCCTTTCCCTCCACCCCCCAGAAAAAACAGCCTGGTGATGTCTTTTTATTTCGCTTGTAACAGGGCAAAAAAGAACTTCAGGTCTCCTTGTTCCAGACACTGGTGCTGCTCATGTTTAATGAAGGAGAGGAGTTCAGTTTAGAGGAGATAAAACAAGCCACTGGGATAGGTTGGTATCGAAAACAACCGGGTACTTCCAAGTGTTCTTACTAAAAAAACCTAAACAACTTGTTTCTGCTTTAGAGGATGGAGAGCTGAGAAGGACACTTCAATCTCTGGCTTGTGGCAAAGCCAGAGTACTGACTAAAAGCCCCAAAGGCAAAGATGTGGAAGATGGTGATAAATTCACATGTAATGATGATTTCAGACATAAGCTCTTCAGGATAAAAATCAACCAAATTCAGATGAAAGAAACGGTATATTTTTTTTAATCCTCTGGGGTTTAGATCCTTGGGTTAAGAACTTTGTTGCCTGCCCTTTTACAAGCTATTTTCCTCCTGGTTGTCATGTACATACTGATATTTCTGTCAGAGTTACATGTGTAATTTGGATGACAGCACATACCAAACAGTGGTGATTTAAATGTGTGCCTCTGTACTAAGACACCAGTGATGCTGGATGTCTCTAAGTAAGGTTAAGAGAAGTTCCAATTCTGAAATGCTCTTTTTGTCCTTTATCATTCCATGGCGCTTTAGTGACTGTTTGTGAACATGGAAAATTCACTGTGGACTTGTTTCTCTGACAGCCACACAATGTAAAATCTGAGCAAAGGTTTTAAATCTTTGCACCAGTGTGTTTTTCAATAGACAATCAGGCTTCGTATTTGCAAAGGCTTTATGTCAGATATTTGACAGCAGGCATTTCACTGTCTTACACTGAGAATTGTCTGGGAGACAGAATTGTTTTGACAGTGCTGTTATTCTCATTCAAACTCTCGTAAATGGGTCCTTCAGGTGGAGGAGCAGGCAAGCACTACAGAGAGGGTGTTCCAGGACCGGCAGTACCAGATCGATGCCGCCATTGTGCGCATCATGAAGATGCGCAAGACGCTGAGTCACAACCTGCTCGTGTCAGAGGTCTACAACCAGCTGAAATTCCCAGTCAAGGTGCTGTGCTGGTTTTTTTACTTCTAAAACTTTATTAGTTCTTGTTATCTTCCCTGTCTGTCCTCAGTTGAACACTGCTTCTGTCTAAATTACGCATCTTTTTAGTATTAGAGAGGGCAAATACTCACTTTCAGGAATTTTGAAAGTGCCAGTTGTTGTTACTAAAACATATTTCCAAAGGATTTCAGCCCTGGAGTTTGTTAGCAGTAAGGGAGCAGCTGGCCCTCCTTGTTTGCTTGTGTTCCACTGTTTGCAGTGCTCAGGCAAGGCATTCTTGGGCAAAGGAGAAAATGCTTCAGATCTCAAAACTAATTTTGCATTACAATCTTAACTTGGTTAATACTTTTAAAGTACAGTGATTTTTCTGGATGGATTATACTGGTTAATACATATACACACATATATAGGAATAAAAATAAAATATTGGTGAATGTTTCAAAGCTGAAGAAGCCCACAGTTGCAATATAAAATGACTGGCTTATTGTGTACAAATGGAAATGGGTTTTCAAACAGACAGTGAAGCATTGTTGAAATTCAAATATATGATGCTTTCTGCCAGTGGAATTGTAAAACAAAAGGTCCTGCTATTTAATTCCATTATACTACCACACTGAGTGCATGCAGGTCTGTAAGATCATAGCAGATCTTTTAAATAATTTTCCTCACGTGTTATCATGAGGCATTTTGATAAAGTTCCTCACCCAACAAAATCACAGGGCACACAAACTATTGCACAACTCATTTGCTTCTAGAGGAAACGAAACTTGTACTTTTACTGGCTAAAAGTCAGAAATAGAAACACTTTGGTACATGATGCACAAGCTGCACTTCTTTAGAGTTCAGTTCAAACGGCAGCAAATATCTTTCCTTTCTGTAAAAATTTGTTTAGGTGTAGGTGATGAGCTAACTTTGTAACTTTTGCTTCTATCAGTTATACATTGCAGACTTTAGAAGCTCTGATACTTTAAAGGACTTTTTTAAAGTGGGATTTCTGTTTCCTCAGCCATCTCAAACAATATAGATATTTGGCTCAAGTGGAAAGAAAGAACCAAGCATTGACTGCAAAGTAATAATGCTGACATGTGCTTTATTTTACAGCCTGCTGACCTTAAGAAGAGAATAGAATCCTTGATTGACAGGGACTACATGGAAAGAGATAAAGAAAACCCAAATCAGTACAACTATATTGCATAAACATATGTTGGCCTTTGTTTTACTGCACACTTGGTGTCCCACACAGTTGCCAGTGGATAAACTAGCCTCTTGATCCCGTTAATTGACTTTTTATACTACCGATGATTGAATGAAAGCAGTGTAATGGAAAAGTATAGTAGAGTGGACTTCTTTCAGTGGTTAACATGCCCATTTAAAGAGTAATATTTACATTTTAAGAAGAATGCTGTTGAACTCTTTGCATGTTATTTAGTAAGATGTGCAGAAAGCTGAAAGAAAGTACCTGGTCTTTCTGATTCCATTTGTCTCTGGGTCTGAAGAGGAGTCCCTTGATATATGACAGATATCATTCACATCTTTAAATGGAAACAGAAGGTTCATTAATATAAGAAAATAGCCTTTAAAATGCTTAAACTGCATGCAAACTTTTAATTTACTGTACAGAATGCATTTCAGTTATACATACCATCGGTCTGGTTGATGCCCACACTTGGATTTTTTTCTCTTGAGGGGGAAAAATGGGGAATAAGCTAAGCTATGCTTATTGCTGATCTAATGGAAAATATTCTTGGTTGCAATTAAGACAAAATGGTGCCATTATAAGAGGATGTATAAAGTTTGCAGTGTGGGCATATATACTGTATATACAAACACCATTCTTAAATAACTGCTACAACAAAACAAGTTCAGATTAGATTTATATGGCTTGCCTATGAAACTTGGTGTTCACCTTTGGGAATTTTAAGCATAAAACAGCCATAATGGAAGAAGTGACAGTTTTTACTAGTCATGGGTAGGAGGCCTTCACCTCTTGGCAGCAATACTCTAGAATAAAGAGAATCTATTAACAGATAAAAAGCCACACTGTTATTGTGGTAAAGCTGTAAGAACAAAATTTGCAAGTGGATTTTAATACTTGTTTTGCTTTGCAGCATTCTAAACTTGAACTAACCTCAAGGTTTAGACAGGGCAGTTCTTCTAAGACTGCCCTGCTTTGGATTGCTTTAACTTAAAGCTTTAAGAACTCAGCCCTAGAGCCTAGCAGGCCTCCTAGAACCCAGAAGCCTACCTCTCATATAGTAAGTTAAGTATTGCTACAAGGCATCTAAAATATATTTTCTTAGATGACCAGAGAGCATTCTTTGCATCTTTATAAGACATGGGAGAGTAAGTCACTTGAATGTAGAGCTTTGTTTCAACAAAACACGTTTTTTATTGCTTATAGCAGCATGTGCCAGGAATATATGGAAAAAAAAGGTGTCAGCAGAAAAGGAACTCCTCCACGTACCAGTTCTTCCTTACCCAGCCAGGCTTTATACCTATGATCAGCTGTGTTGCAGAGCACAATGAAAAACCTCATCCTCTTTCAGGCACTGATAGTCCTGGAGAATACCAGATATCTCTTGAAAGCAAGATGTTACTTTTGTTTAATGGCAGTGTAACTTAGCTCTCTATGACTATAACTTCTATCACTGTGATCCCACATTCAGGGGTGTGCATGTGTGAGAGTGTGTGTGTGTTTTCTATCTGACACATCCCATCCTTAGTGCTTTTTTTTAATCTACTGTTTAATTCCATATATTCTCCAGCCATGTTTTCTCTCAGGCTCTTTTGTATGCAGTCCTCAGCTGACAGATGAAACAAATGTGGGTGGTTTTTTTCCTACTAAATTATTTGCAGTCACCCTCAACTAACCATCATAAAGCTCTTTGTGATCTGCAGAAAATCTACCTTGCCCCTTGACACTATTGCAGCACAACCACTGGTAGACATCCAGGGCCACCCCTGCCTCTGAGAGACAAATACTGACAGTACAGTTATGTGGGAAGAACCTTAAGGACTCCTCCTGCAAATCTTCAAGTATTAGCTCAAATTGAGATCCACTGGGGAGGAAAGAATTCCTCCCCCCATTAAAAAATACATATGTGTTTCACATTCAATGTTCCTTTTCTTGTATGTGTTTTGTATCTTCAGCCAATAAAAGATTCCTTTTAAAGAGACATGGAGAAGAAATATAAGACTTAACTCTTTGGGTGCAGGAGCTGATGCACTGAGCTGGTTCCATTCAGTCTGTTGTAGCATATAAATCTTATACCACTACATGTGTGAACACCCATTGTGGTAAAACCCTCCCTCATTACACGAGTGTCATATTCAGTCAAACTGCAGAGGACTGTAGGTTTATTTCATTTTTATCCTGTCTAATGCAGAAAATATTATACAGAAAATGTCCTCAAATCTCATTAGAATTCACAATCTGAGGCAGACCCTAAGCGCAATCCAGTTAAAGCAACCCAAAGAATGGACTTTGAGAACCCTGGCTAGGCCGGGAGAGGAGTGAGCGAGGGGAGGGGAGAAGGCTTCTCTTGTAGCTTCATGGGTTTTCCCCAAGAACTCGTTCATCTCTCTGCTAAGGTCTCGCTCATTCCTGGTTAATGACAAAGCTGCAGCCAAGATTTGTCGTCGTACAACTCCGCAAATTCTTGCTGGGATCATGTGCCTGCTTCTTGAGCCATATATATCTCTGTAAGAAAAAACTGAAATGGGCTTGGACCACAACTCATCTGGCTAGAACACAGCTTGTCTTTTTGGCCACACATTTTTAATCTTGACTCTTGCATGCAGTTTATAGCACCTTGTTCATAAGAAATTGCAGTTTATTCTTAGATATATATATTTTAGGTTTTTTAATCTTTATACCCATAAATGGACTATTTTTTTGTCTTGGCTGGTTTCAAAAGTGACCATTTTGTTTAAATGCTGTAATTGCAAATGTGTTGTAAACGTTGTTTTGTTCTATAGTTTACACAAAGGTGCCAAAGTAAATAGTTAATAAAAAAAAAAAAAAAAACCCTAGCAAATTGTTAAGTTGTTTTAGCTGTTCTTCATATTTTGGTCTCAGCTTTTTTTTTTTTTTGTCAGCCTTTCGTTTTTTCCTAGACATATCATTTGCCCTAATGCTTTCTTTTAAAACAAAAAAAAAGCATCTAAAAAAATGTTCAAATGCCACTCTTTTTTTAGTGCTCTCATATAGTAGGAAGAACATTTTCTTTGAAACGTTACACTAAAATTGTAAGAGTACAGCAGCATTCAAAAATGTAATATACTTTTTGTATAACAGTCTTGAGAGTGTGTCTGGAGTGGGGGGGAAAAACTAACCCTGTTACTTTTCAGAAGCCTCTTCCCTCAGCTACCAGAATATGAAAATGTGCTTTTTCACAGCATCAAAAACTTATAGTTTATGCAGACTTGCAAACAGGGCATGTATCACCATTGCATCCTTCGATGCAAAAAGCAGCAAAACCTTTTTTATGTTTCATAAGTCTGATATGGGTACAGAGAGTCTTTCTTAAGTTGGTAAATAATGTAAATACATGTCCTTTCAGAGAGTGAGTCTGTTATCTAGGTATTTTGTGTCATTTAATAAATATTAAACAGTTTTGTGTTGATAAACTCTTGTGTGTAAAATGCCTTCTTACTCCAAGTTCTGTATGTTGGGCTTACTAATGTTTATGGCTTCTCTAAATTCTTCAGCTTGTGCTTTGATAGCAAAATACTTGTTTGCTACTTAAATATAATAAGTAGTTCCTTATTCATTCAGTCATTAAAATCCCTTGAGTTTTCTAAGTGGCTTCCATTCCTGAATTGTTATTATTTTGGATGTTTTGCTAAGTCTTCTATGGTTCTTGGAGGGGAAGGAAATAAGCATTCTCATAGACCCTGAACTGGGATTACAATGTGTACAAGTGGCAGGAATACACAAAAACACCAGCGGTGGTGCCTTGCTGCTCCTGAGGGAGGCACCTCTCCTGCTGTGTGAATATTCCTTGTCTCCCACTTTATCATTGTTTTAATGACTCTGGAATGAAGTATGAAGGACAAAGCTGTAGAGGGAATTTGCTTCTCTTATTAAGAATGGCCAGTTGGCCATTTCTTGATTTTTCTTCTTCACCCTGAACAGCTGGGTTAAATCTGAGCAGAAGGACTGTGTCCAGCCTGGCCCTTCCCAGCTCAGGAGCACTGAGGACTTGGTGGAGGGGGGAGAATGGAGTGTTTTGGATTTCCTTTTTGAATTCCGGAAGATGGGAGAGCTGTGGCAGAGCAGGTGCTGATCCTGTGAGCTGTTCTGGGAAGGCTGGCATGGGCTGCAGGGGGGCTGGTACCACACAACAGTCCTGGGGCAGGTGGGCTTTGGCAGGTCTGGGAAGCATCTGCCACCAATCCTGCTCAGCTGCTTCCTTCCAGTCTTACAGCTTGGAGGCATCTAAATGCATGGGATGGTTTTTCCACTTTCTCCTTACAGAGAATATTGCCTACATTCTTCACAAAAAAGAAAAAAAAAAGTCCCACAGGAACAGATGAGTGTTTGGAGACTGATAGATTATCTGTCTACTCTGAGAAAAAGAAAAAAAAACAGAGCAGTAAATTCTTTCATTCCTTTTCCTATGTGAAGTACAATATATGCCACTGTACTTTATCCTGATTGAGAAAAACTGATGACAAATCAAATTTAAGATGGTAGCTTTGGATTTGCCTTTTTTGTTCCCCCTTAAAGAGGCCAGGATCTGTGGACATACTGTGGTATTTAAACAATGAACACTTCAAAACTCACTGGAGTGGTTGAGAGGCACTGAGCTTTGTGCAAAGTGTATCTTGTAACACATGGAGTTAACTGGGAAGAGAAGCAATGGATGTTGGTTAATCTACAAAGAAGCAGGTTTTTCTCCTGGTTAAGTAATTTTTTCCTGGTACAGGGTCACCTTTCAAATGACTCACAGCTTCTCTTGCTGCTGCTTATAGAAAATTAGCATTGGGGCATAAACAAAAAAGTAACTTTGAAAGTGAATTTTCTAGAATGAGTTATCAATTGCTAGAGATTTACACAGACCAGCCACAGCCTGTGTCTGGCCCTAGGACCCCACTAAGAATGCCAAGTCCAAGTGAATGTTTCCAATTAGTCTCCTGTTAGTTCTTTGGCTGCAGCTTGAACTGGTGCCTCTGGAGAGGGACCCCTACCCCAACTCACACCTCTCACTTATACCCCTGACACTCATCACCCATGCCAAGTCAAACATAAAATTCTGGTTGGTGGACTCTTGATTTCCTGCTGGGTTCCATTGTTGCTGGGCTGGGCACCTTCTCATGTAGCTTTTTCTCTTGGAATTGTCTCCTTATCATGTCCCTTCTGCTTGTATCTGCTGAATTCCACGAGTTCTTTTGCTACCAGCATTGTTATATTTGTTAGATCAAAAGTTTGGTCAGTTCTTGCACCTAAGGAGACTATTCAGACAGGAGATTACAAGTAACCTAATTTTCTCTACAACTGTTGATAGTTCTTTATCTCACTCCTTAAAACAATCAGTTGTTTGTCTGCTTGCAACACCTGTATTTTAGAGCTGGAGGAAAACAGGGATGTCACTCAGTACTTCTGTGTTAAAATGCCTGAATAATCATAACTTGCTATGAAATTTTGTCTTTTCAAAAAAGTAAGTCTACAGATTCTGTTCCATCTAATGATATTTGCAGTAACACGGAAGTTGCAGTAACTGCTTTCAGTAGATCCAACATTTAGATGTGTTATGCAATTAAGGAGTGTAGAGGGTCACTGCCCAGGCCTTTGCAGGGCTCAAGGGCTCCTATGCTTCTTTGCAAAGCTTAGTCACCATGACTTTGCAGAAAGGGGCTAGCATGCAAGTAAATTGCATCTGGAATGATAAGGAATAGATTGCTTGTTGCTACTTGGAGCAGTAGTAGTTTTCATTCATTGTGAAATGAGTGCTAGATTATTAGCAACATGTTCACTTAATATATAACTTTATTTTCCCCTTCTGGACTGAACTTCCAAGGAAATTATCACAGTGCCTGTTCTGTTTTACCCTTGTGTAGTCTCTGAAGCTTGATGTATAGCTGAAAAAAATTAATTATCATGGCCCAAACCAGATACCTTTCTCAAAAGCAGGCCCTTAATTACATCCACAAAGTCCTTCAGCTGGTGCTAGTTTCAGGCTCAAGGCAAAGCACTCTGTCATTAATTAATTTTCAGTGAAGGCTGGGCAGGACACTACACAGGCCAATTCTGCCACGTGCATGCTGGGGAGAAGGTGCAGCTCTCAAGCATGAGATAGGAACAAAAATTACCAAACAGCCTCTGCAGAGGTGAGCTGAAGCCTTGTCATTGCACAGGTAGAGCTGGTTTGTAGGATGTGGCTGGGGAGTAGGTCAGAACTGGTTCTGCAACCACAGGGCTGCGATTTTGTCACTTGCAGAACTGGCGCTGTGTGTGTATCCCTTCATTTTCTCCCTTTTAATTCCTACAGCAGCAGTTGCTGCTTCAAATCCTAGCTCTAAAAGCACAAAGCAAACACACAACCTCAAACTGGAGAGAGATCATTCCCCAGAGAGCTTTGTTTCAGGTCAACACAGTGAACAGGTATCAGCCTGATGTTTGTCAGACCTGGTTTCTGATCTCTGTCAGAGCTGGAAACTATAGACTAGTTACAAATATCATTATGTTCTTTGTAAAAGGGATGTAATGTTATTCTAGGTCACAAGGGATCCTGTAGCACTGAAGTCTTGCAGTTAAAATATCCAGTTATGAAAATGACTGTATAATATCCAGTTTCCCTCCCTGCTTTCTATTTTAGATGTAACTTCTTTTCCTGCTGAAATCTCTCAGAAAATGTTACAGCCAACACATCTTTCATAAGAGCTGGAAGTGGGCGGTGCCTTCTGTGCAGAGCCATTTTCACACAATAAATTCTGCTCTGAAGCTGACAGATGTATCTCCAGCAAGTTAGCACTGCATGCCGATCAAACCACAAAAGCCAGAGAGTATTGACACACCTCTACTTTGCTGGAACAAGCCCAAAGAACGTGTTGTCAGTCAAACAAGTTCATTTTTTTCACATTAAACAGAGCTACATCTACAAGCAGCTTGGTCTGACTCACCAAATGCATAAATCTCATCTGCTGCCACATGTGAACCCAGCTGCAGCACACATCACATCCAGTGGCAGCTGGGAGTGCTCGGGGCCTGATGCTGCTGCTGTGCCACAGCACAGGGACACCAGTGCCACAGCATAGGGACAGCAGTGCCCCAGCACAGGGACACACAGCAGTGCCACAGCACAGGGACAGCAGTGCCACAGCAAAGGGACAGCAGTGCCCTGGCACAGGGACAGCAGTGCCCCAGCATAGGGACAGCAGTGCCACGGCACAGGGACAGCAGTGCCACGGCACAGGGACAGCAGTGCCACAGCACCGTGCCAAGGCCCAGCTCCTGCCCTGCTTTCAGCCCTGAGGCTGCAGCACACAATGGCCCCGAGCCGGGTCCGTGGGACGGGCCGGGTCTGTGGGACGGGCTGGGTTTGGGGAACCAGCAATTCCCAGCGCCGGGAATGTTTTTCCAGCTGCGGCGCGACACAAGCGCTTTACAGGAAGTTTCGCAGCTCGCTGCTGCAATCTGCTCTCCGATCTCTCCACCTCCCCACCAACCTTGCTTTTTTCTTCTTTCTTTTTTTTTTTTTTTTTGGCTTTTTCACGTGATTTCCGCAGTCCTGACTCAGCAGTTTCCCGCAGAGCGTTTATTGGTTTGGTTTCCTGGCACCACCTGCCCCGGAGCGCTCGGGTTCCCTGTTCCATGGAGGTTTGCTGGGAGCTGTCCCCGCCCCAGGGACCCCCACAGCCCCGCCGGTGTCACCCGCGCTGGGCACTCCGGGGCTCACTGCGGCCGGACCCCGAGTGCTCAGCCCACGGCCACAGGCTGGGGCTGCGTGGGAAGGAAAACTCGGGAATAGCTGCTGGCACAGTCCCAAGAAGGTCCCTGTGGTTCACCCCCCTCTGCCAAGTGAATCTGCAACCTCTCCGGCCGGCATTAACACATTCCCCTTTCCACCTCTTCCACGCGAAATGGAATCAAATCCAGGGAAGGAAGAAATAATTGGTTCTGCCATAATCTTTTCTCTGAAAAAAAAAAAAAAAAAAAACCCACAGGAATTGCCCTTTTGTTTAGAGATATCTAAGAGAATAAATAAAAACACATTAGAATAAAGTCATGATTACTGCATGTCCTAGGGATTATCTCTTTCTTCTTTTTATCACAACCTCTACTCTTCTGCACCAGGAATCAGAAACATTAAATGACTCAGTGCTTCATTAAACAGTGACACTTTGCTTCTGACCGCACACATCCATCAACTTTGGCAAATCCCTGGGCTAAGAAAAGTCTAATTACAGAAATAGTATCTAAACTGCTGAAACTGCTAAAGGATTCACAAAGGATTAAGCATATGATACAAATGAAATTAGGCATGAAATTATATTCCTCAATGAACTTAAGCTTTAAAAAGAAATTATAATGTTTTGATATTTGCTCTCAGTACATGTCAGTACCATTTTAAAACAACTGATGTCAGGCAGTATAACATGCAGTAAAACTGTAATGCTGTACAGAAACATTACAGTCCTCCTCCTCACATCCAGCAATAAACATAGGGAATGTGAATGTCTTAGAAAACCAAGATCAGCTTGCCATCCATCAGTGGCTCTCAGAACTGTGCCAGCTGCAAAATCATTTCTCTCTATTAAGCAAGAGGGTAAGGCATTTTCTCTGCATTATGGTAACAATCATTCACTCTTCTCTCATTAAAGGAAAACAGCTGAAAATGTGAGTGTGAGCTTATGTTACTGAAGTATAACTATCACCTAAATTTTATTAAAACTGCCACAATCAATAAAGAACTTACTCATTATAAATAATATGCAGTGGATATTTGTTAGAAATTGAATTCTGCAAGCACTGAATATAATAACTTACGGAATTAAGGAGGAATCAGACAACATTTGACCCCTAACTACTAAACTTTAAGGACAGCTGATGGATTTGTTAAACATAAGAGGAACAGAGCTTCATTTTGCTCCCTCCAGAGCTACAAAGAAGAGACAGGCCTTGAGAACTGCCAAAAATTTCTCTGTTTAGGGAGAACAGTGCCAAAATCAAGCTTCTGTCAGTTGGGTGGCAAGAGGAGAATATCACTGTGAAAATGCTTTTACATTGCTTTTAACAACCTTTTAGCACATCCAGATGGCTGGACCATGTGAGCTTTGTGGGACAAACCTCTTCCTTTACACAAACACGAGGTGTTTGCACCAACTCCTCAGAGGTGGAATTTGATCTTTTGGTCTCCCCAAGGATTCCACACAGGGCAGAAACCCCTTGGGCAGCCTTTGTGGTTGTCCCATTGCTTCCTGCACCTGCAGGTGCATGAATCCCCCTGTGACTGTGACAATGACAATAAACCACCAGCTCAGTCCACCAAGATCATGTAAAATGATGTCACACCCCCACATGCCTGTGACAGGCTGTTATATGGCAGGGATGGAGTGCAGGGAGGGTGAAGTAACCAGATGCAAACAGAAAAATAATCTGTTTTCTGGTATTAATGATGATATTTCTGGTGCAAAGCAAGGTATTTTCCATTCTGCTAAATTAAATAAACTATACTGTTCTTTTAATCCCACATCACTTGCTATTTTTCCTGTGTTATTACACAGAAAAAGATTTGCTTGTTATGATTGCTGCCATTAGATTTCATTTCAAGCTTCACTAAATTGGCATAAAGGAAACAAGTTAATCAGCCTTCCCGTTATGTCTGCAGAACATCTACTCGGTTCAGAGCCCATTTCCTACCATGGAAGCAAGAGATCCAAATATTCTGAATTCTTCACTCAGAACAAGGGAGTGTTGGAACATATCAATGTATATTCATAAGTCCTGAAGTAAATACTCCAGCAGATACAAAAGGTGCCATTCCACTGCATGACTTACCTGAAAAGACCAATTATTTTCTCCTTTTCCAATTAATTAAAGCTTAATTCAATGTCTGTCTCCTAATAGTCAAATCGTCCTAATTTGATTGCTCCTAACTCCTTGTGAGATCACATTTTAAAAACAGAACTTTGTACTAAAGGAGTGAAGCCTGAGGAAATACAAAATTCCCAGAGCAAGACTCTCCCTATCCTCTGAAATGCCCCATTCTTTGTGGTGGAGCTGAGAAAGACTTGCTGCTTTCAGAATTCGTGGTTTCATCTGTGCTGCCGTTACCGACATTTCCCTCCAGCCTACAGCAAGTCAGTTATTAAATATAAAATGTATTTCTTCAAATAAATTTTTGGTAATTAAGCCCAAAGGATAAATACAAATTTACTCTTTTGAAATTATGTGAATTTGAGAGTCACATGCAACCGTGCTTACACAAGTGCACGTGCAGGTATGTAACACAGGTGGTGAGGGGGCTCTAGCACAGAAAGAAATGCAAAGAAGCGGTGAACTTCTCTGACCACAACAGCTCTTGCATGTGGGACCTTCGTTTGATCGATGCCCTGGTTTCTGTGTGGCCCTGACATGCCAGCTTAGGTTTTGTGACACTCTGTGGAAAAGTACAGGATTGCAAGCACACAACTGAGAAAATTAACTGCCCTTTGATAACAAATTGCATTATTTCCACTTCCTCCAGACGGCATAACTGCTTTCCTATCAGCACCATCTTCACTCCAACTGTCTCATTATCAGGTCAATGCGTTTTATCATCTTCTTCAAACTTCATCTTCTTCTCCCACGGCTGGGGATGTCTCAGAACCCGACCATTCAAAATCCTCAGTTCTTCCACAGCATCACAGACAGGAATATGCCATTCCAGAAAGGCCTTTCCTTGCTGAGCACAGAGCTCCATCTCCTCTGGCATCTTCTGGCTGTCTCCCAGCCTCAATGCCTTCTTCCATTTCCCCTTTCTCTGCCAAGCCAGCCTGACTTGTTTTGCTTGGGCGTGGGGTTATTGCGGGTTTTTTTTTTTCCCTAATCCATAGTGTCAGGGTGCCATCCAGCACCCATCACACTTTATTCCACCTTTCAGACCCAAATCCACCGAGTTTTCAGTCCAGCCGCCTTCTCCGCGCTTCACAGCGCAGGTTCTCCTCTCCCTGATGTGCACCAAGCTCCTGTTCCCCCCCATCGTTTTCTGCTGCACGTTCTGCCTCTCAGCACCAGCAAAACCGCATTAAAGCTCCGGGTGCTGGCGCCAATCGCTCGTGTTTATTGCAAACACGGACAACACTTTTGGTCTTTCTTTTTTTTTCTTTTTTTTTTTTTTTTTTTCCTCAGTGAAAGCCTCTATTAAACTTCCCTGGACGCGCATCTCTTGATCTCTTGTAAGCTACCCCTTCTCAGAGCAGAGCAACGCCAGTGCACACCGCAAAAACCGCCAGAACGAGCCACCGCTACCCTGCCCCTGCAGCGGCCACCGCGGGGCATCCCCGGTCCGGCGCCCGCCGCTGTCGCCGCCGCTGTCGCCGCGGACCGGATCACACCGAGCGGATCACACCAGACCCGCCCGCCCGAGGCGGCGCGCGACGAGCGGCCCGTCCGCGATCCACGGAATCGAGCGGCGGCGCCGAGCGGCCATTGGCGGCGCGCGGGCGGCCCCGCCCCGCCCCTCACATGACCGCTAGCGAGGGTTTTGTCGCGCCCGCTCGCTCCGGCCGCCCCCCGTGCCCCGGTGTCCCCGCGGGCAGCAGCGGCACCGCCACCACCGCCACCGCCGCCATGGGCCCGCGCCGCTCCGCCGCCTCCTCCTGCGGCCGCCTCCTCCTGCCGCTGCTGCTGCTCGGCTTCTCCGGTGAGCGGGGCAGCGCCGGGGCCCGGGGGAGGGGAGTGGGTGGCGGTGTCCCCGCGGGCTCGCGCCGCTGCCCGCCCCGTCACGCACGCGGGCACCGGGGGCCCGGGGGGTTCCCGGAGCCGCCTCGGCCCCGCGGCGCCTCCAGGGGGCGGCCCCGGGGCGGAGGCGCCGCCGCTGTGCCCCTTCCCCCCCCCGCTGCCACCCCCGGGAGGGGAGGGGAGGGGACGGCGGCGGGCCCGGAGCCGCGGGCGCTTCCGCCGGGGGCCGTGGCCCGGCCCCGCCGCCACCGCGGCCCGCCCGCGCGGCCCGGCCCCGCCGCTCTGTCAGCGCTGCCGGGCCGGGAGTCGCGAACACAACAGCTGCGAAAAGTTATCCTAAAACGCAGGGGGGATTTAACGCCCGTGTCTCTGGGGCTGGAAATCCTGCAGGCGCGGTGGAGCCGTGCCGGTGCCCTCTCTCAGGGGTCAGCGTGGCTCCTGAGCACTGACACAACACGTGAAATAATAGCCGCTGGTCTGCGAGCAGCGCGTTGTTCAAGTGCTGTGTTCGTGTCCTTTGGTTTACCCACTGTGTCACCAGACAGCTGATGCTTATTTCTGAGAGTCAGAATTCTAGGCTGGAAGGGACTTCAAGAATTGGCTGGTCCGTTCTTTCTTGGCAAAGACACGGTCTAGACAAGATGGCCCAATACCCTGTACAGCCAAATTTTAGAAGTGTCCAGTGTTGGGCAGTCAATACTTTGAGACTATTTGTTTGTGTCAGGTAAACAGATTATAAAACATTATCTCGATTTTTGCCAGCTTTGACAGTTTTGTGGTGTGCTTACTATTTTTGGTACTTTTTAGAAATGTAGGCATTCTTTCACTGTCTGGTAAATTGAATGTGGTCCTGACATAATTTACTGCTTTGTGATGAGCTGTCCTCTTAAGTGGTTCTAGAAAATGAAGAAAAAGCAATATCCTAATAGCTAATAATCATATCTTACAGGTTTTTTCCAGTCCTATGCAGTTGAAGTAGATATAAAGGATGCTTCTAATGCTACATGCCTGTATGCAGATTGGATGATGAGGTTCTTGATAAAATATGAATCAAACAGTGGTGATTATGTAAGTATTTGGGAGTAACTCTTGCTGAGAACTGGATTTTGACCTGGATAAAAGTTTAAGCTCTTTTTCTTAGGGTGTTTGATTTCTTACTTTTTTTTACAAAGTCAGTTGAGAAGAATATTCCTATATAGTCCTTATAAAATAAAGAATAAGTTCTCAGACATACAAGTGACTGAAAGTACTCTATTGCTCTTACTTAAATGATGTACACAAAACTCACAGAGTCTAACCATCAGTGTAGTTATGTTCTTAGCCCAAGTAGTAGATGTAATTGCAGCTCAACATGATCAATGTTTACAGCCAGGTTAGAGTTGTACTTTTGTACTTTAATCTGATACACCTCCTTTCTCAGGCAGGTGTTAAGGAGCCTTTATCATCATTTTCCACAATAACCTAAAATAATCTCACTTATCTTGTGCAAGGTTTCAGCTAACTCCAGCAAGTTTATAATGTTGTCATGGGGAAGAGCTGCATGTGAGTGCATTTTATATTCCCCTTTTCTTCTAGAAAACCACAACCCTGAATTTGTCATCGAGTGTGACACACAATGGAAGCGTCTGTGGCAATGACACACAAGCTGCCCTTGTGGCAGTGCAGTTTGGAGAAGGTCATTCTTGGAGCATTAACATCACAAAAAACAATGAAACTTACCAGGGAGACTTCATCACACTGACCTACAACACCAATGACACAGCTGTATTTCCTGATGCTAAAAGAAAAGGTAACATTCAGTGCAGAATCTGACTTGCAAAGCAATCTCAGCCAGAAGTGTCAGACCTTGTGTACCTGACCTGGCTTGGCTTCTTCGAAGTAAGGAGGAATACAGGGGTTAGTAATGAATGTAATGAGTTCTGTACCACGTGCTGCCAACTGCTGTTCCTTCTACCTGCCTGCTGGGTAACAATGCAGGCCAAATGGCTTCACTGAATATGTAATTCCTGTAAGTGGAAGAGAAGAGGAAGGATAAACAGCTTTGATCAGTGAGCTAGGCAGCAGGCACATGGAAGATTAATTTTAGTGGGCACTGCTTGACCTTCTACCTTGCCAAGCAATACAGTGTTAGGCTGTCTGTGTCAGTGTTAGGCTGACTAATGCCTACTAATAATAGAATTATTTTCTCCTTACAAACTTAAGTAAAAGAGTTCACCTTTCTAATAGCTTGTCTAGCTCTGTAGGCTTAGTTACTCCTACATTACCCAGCACTTCAGGTCAGCACATACAGGGAGAACATTCAAGTCAGTTTAAAATTGTTAAACTTAATTATCGCTTAGTCTCTGTCTTACAAAATTATATAAAATATAACACTGCCTCTAAGTTCCTGTAGTTCGTAAGGCATTAAAATATTTATGCTTATTTGTAGGACCAATTACTGTTCTTGTGAGGGATCCTTCGCGTCCAATTCAACTGAATACTGTCTTCGTGTGTCATAATTCCTTTGTTATTGAAGCAGAAAATACAACGCAGATTTTCTGGAATGTTACTATGCAGGCTTTTGTTCAGAATGGCACGGTCAGTAAAAAAGGTGAGGATTTCAGTTTGTGAAAGAGCTTTTTTGTATTCCACCTTAGTGCAGGGAGCAAAGTCCCATAATAAAATCCACCAATTCTAAGATGTGTTTAATAATATCCATGTAAATATCCTCTAGTATTTCTTTCCTTGTTACTGGAAAAATAGCTTAGGAGAGTGGATTTAGCAGTGTGCTGTACTGTTGATTGTTTGTGTGCCAAGGTGGGATTCTTCTCAAGTGTGTATTCCAGTAACTGGGTTATTAAGAATAAGCACTTCAGAACTGCTGTTGCTGAGTAAATCATTTGAGTTGAGGGGTTTTAGCTAACTGCCTTGCCCATCCAGTGGTGGCCTCTGCTGTTGAATTTGAGTCGTCCAGAGCCTGTTGTCTCATCTCCTAGCTCAGGAAAGCGATGAGCACAGCATCCTGCTGCATGTAGCCTAATAGGGTCACTTACTTGGTCTACAGCAAATACATGTCACACTTTTAAAACAATTTAGCTGTCTTTGTGTGTTTTGCTTCCATGTGTCAGAGGCAAGTGGTACTGAGTGTGGACTAAAACTGAGTGTTACGAGATTTCTGTGTATAAGTGGCAGCAGTACTTTGTCTGAGTAATAAGACTTCAATACAATTTCAGTAATTAAATGGTGATTAAAATGTCTTTTCAGAGTCTAGATGTCCTGCTGATACACCTACTTCTGAACCTACTGTTCCACCTACTATTGCCAATGTAACTACTGCATCTACCACTACTTTGTCTCCTGCTCCAACAACTGCTCCCAAACCTGTGGAGAATCCAGTCACAGGAAATTATTCTCTTAAAAGTGGAAATAAAACTTGTTTCCTGGCAACTGTGGGGCTGCAACTGAATGTTTCTCAAGAAAAGGTGCTTCTTTTATCTTTTGAAGAGTAAATGTTGCTGTAGTTGTTTGGTGTGAAATCTGAATGCAGAGTATTGCTTTGTACACTGCTGGCTGTCCAGAACTGCTTCTAAGTAGTGTACGTAGCACCTCTCTGACATCAGAAAAACCTTACATTTGTTGTTGGAAATACTTCTAACATGATTGCAAGTCTGGAACTTTCTTAGCTGTTACAGCTGTTGTTCCCTGCAGATACTGTCTTTCCCCTCAGAGGGTAGGCTGTTGTGTTAGTGAACAAAGTAACATTTCTCTAGAAATTTTTTTTGTTTCAGTGCCAGCGTGTAAATTTAACTCAGAACAGCCTTGGTTCCATAGTAGCCAAGCTCAGCTCTTCCTGCTGTCATATTTATGATAAGCTCTTCTAACCCAAGACTGTTCCTGACTGGTACAATGTATTCCAAAGGCAGCTGAATGTCTTTGATGTTCTTTGTCTGTATTTCAGCCTCTTCTGATCAACATCAATCCAAAGACAACTGTTGCAGATGGTGCCTGTGGTAACACAACAGCCACTCTGAAACTGAATGATGGAAATAGCACACTGATTGGTTTCACATTTGCTGTTGTAAGTAACTTCTTTTATTTTAAACTAATTTATCATTTAACAGCATGCATGGTGATCACTTATAGTAAAATCCTCCTGTTGCTTGCTGGTGGTGGGCTGCTCCCGTATGGGAAGTGGAATTGGCCAGTTGAGTGCCTAAGACAAATGGAGAACTGGGTTAGAGTTGTAGAAAATGTAAGACTGGTAAATGTGTTGGCTTTTGTAAAGCACGTGTTCTCAAAGCTAGAAATGCAGAATTGCAAACTGACACTTGGTTCTTTCTTCTTGAACAGAAAAATACAAGTGCAAGTGTACAAAAATTTTATCTGAGGGAGGTGAATGTTACTCTGCTCAACCGTCTGAATGGTTCTGGTAAGAAATAGTATCTGCCTTAAACAAGGGTAATATTTTATTCAATGTATGTATCAAATACTTCTGGCTCTTTTTTTCAGTGTTGTTCATGCTTATTGTTAGCTCCTACTCTATATCTAGAAGTTGGTATGAGCAAAAAAAATAAGCAGAAATGGCTGTAAGAGTTACTTTAAACAGCAGTGTGGGACCACTCTACGATTCCTGAAACTTCTGCTAATGGAATCACTATAAATTAAGAGGGCTTCTTTATAACTCTTCTCAGTAATGTAATTTTTTGTGGTGTGAAATGCAATTGTACCAAATTTGAAGCTTTTTTCTTAAACCAGCACTTGCCTTCTTTGAAGATGCTGCTGTATCTTCCAGCCACTTGTATGTAACTCTCACTAAAAAAAGGCCAGTCCTTCAAAAACTGAAGTATACTTTTTTCCCAACAAACATGTTTTCTCTTTTTTTTTAATTGCTTGTCATATCTACAGCAATTAAAGAGCATTAAAGCTAAAACACTTGCAACTCTGCAACACTGAGACAAGCAGAGGTACAAGGAAAGCCTGATGTCATGTACATATGAAAGAGAGGTTACTGCCAAGTACTGTAGTAACTTTAGTTTCTGATTTCTGGCTAAGCTGATCAATCCCAGTACTTTGCACTACTTTGTTTTCCAGACTAGTCAGTGTTGAAGTGTTGGCCCCTCTAGATTCAGCTATTTGGTTTTATTGTATTAGCAACTGTCTCGCATTTTAAGTGAACATGCAAATTCCCTTTCTTTTCTTCCTCCTTTGTTTAGTCATTTCAAGTGCAGACAACAGCAACTTAAGCAAGTGGGATGCTTTCCTTGGTAGCTCTTACATGTGCCGAAAAGAGCAAACCCTTCAGATTAATGAAAATGTTCAAGTACATACTTTTAATCTATGGATTCAGCCATTCCTTGTGGAGGCAAATAAGTTTGCTACAGGTAAGAGTTAGGTTTTTGTTTTTAGTGATGCTTGCAAAATTCTCACTTGCTAAAAAGCACCAGCATTAGGTACAAGCACTTTATCTCAGAAGCTCTTGTTCCAATTTTTTAAAGTATGTTTAGATATACATGGAATGAAGAGAAGTTCTGAGAGTGACATACAAATTCAAGTAAAGCTTTGTTCTCACTTTAAAAAGTCTGATAAGTTCATGGTGTTTCTTCACAAAACTTGAATGAACTAGAGACACTGAAAAGGGACTTAAGCGTTGCTGTGCAGAATAGGTTAGAAGTTACTTGACAGCCTCTTGATATACAGCATTTGTAGCTCAGATATGTAGGAAAATTGGACAGAAACTTTGCAGAAGTGGACTTTGGGAGTACTGTTAGGTGTTCTGTTTCTTTTCATCTGTCAGTCTGAGGAATAGGAGTGTTGGGGAAGAATGAACTGTCAGGGCTTCCTTCAGAGGCAGTCTTGAATATCCAGAACAAAAGAGATTCTGAAATATTTGTTTGCTGCATTATCCTGATCTTGTCTGGAGAAAACAGAAATGTCATAAATTACCTCTTAATACTTAGTGCAGACTGGTCTTTGTGCTTAATGCTAATACTTGCAGCACAGTCTTATTGGACAAGACTGATCTGTAGACACAGATTGAAAAGTTCTGGTTTTAGACAGAAGTAGGATAACTCCAGATGTGTGTGGGGTAAACAGTTTAGTCTTTCTAAAGAGTTAGGGATCAATTTCACTCTACAGTTAAAGTTGCAGCTAGCTAGCTTCTAATTATAGTTATTTTATCTGTGTAAAATGTCTTTGTTCTGGATAGATTCTTGATACCAAATCTAGGTCACTTTTTATCCTTAATGAGTGAAAATACCAACCAGACTTGCCTTAAGTATGAAATGGATAAGCCTGGTTTGTGAATGTAGAAAAATGGCTGCTCCCTTGCCTAATGCAGATCTTGTGCACAGGAAAACTTGTACACCCTGAACTTGCTATAGGTTGTCAATGTTTAAATTAATTAAAATGCTTAAATATGCCAAATGTATTGATGAGACCTCTGCAGTTCTCTTGTAGTTTAAATAATACTTGATTTTTTAACACCTTCATATTAAGGAAAACAGATTTTTATACCACACTTGGCAAGTATTCTGTCTGTATTTATTCCTTATTGCAACCTTTCTCTCACCTACAGCCCAGGAGTGTTCGCTGGATGATGACAGCATTCTAATCCCAATTGTAGTTGGTGCTGCACTTGCTGTCTTGATTGCCATTATAGTGGTTGCTTACATAATTGGCAGAAGAAAAAGCTATGCTGGATATCAAACTTTGTGAATCTAAGTGTGATTCCTGCTATGATTTCACTCTAAACAAAGCAAGTGCAAGTTCTGAAGTCCAAAAAAGACACAAAACTTAGGAGTAATTACTAGCCACAGCTAATTGGAGTTGAGAAACAAAGGGAGAATGTTTATCACAGATGAGGCAGAATTTTTGTTTCCCTGCCCTAAGAAGACAATGTGAGTTTCATTGCTGTTTTGAAGATGTCAAATCCTGAATGAATTGCTAGGCTAAGGATTTTATCTTGCAAAAGTCCTAAAGCATTTAGGATTTATTTCTGCTTTTTACAAATACTAGCCTGAAACAATAACACATTCTGAACTGATGTGTATTGGGCAGCTCCCAGAATAGCATAGAATTTGTACTTGCTTCTCTCCTCTGCGTCCTTAGTCATTGTAATTGTGGGTTAAGCTGGCAGCATTAGTCACTCTGTTGACTTCTGTAGTATTTAACAAAGGATTGTCTAATGCCCAATAGCAACTTTGTTTTCCATAGGATTGAACTTCAGGCTGGTAATTAAGTGATCTCTGGAAGTGGCAGCAGTAACTTACCTGCCTTTGTTGGGATTTCAGTAATTTACTCCTGCCTTGGTGTAATTTCAGGAACCATTCCTATACCATGGCTGTACAAACAAAATGAGTAACTTGCCAAATGGTGAATATATGGGAAGACTTCAGTGCCGTTTCCAGATGCTTTCAAAAAAAAACCTGTTAGGCACTGAATTCTTTATTATACCCTGGTAATCATCTAAAATACTCACCTAAGGCAGACTTCTGCTAAATTAATGCAAGCTATTTTTTTGGTGGCATCAGTTTAAAGGGAATAACCTTTCTAAATATTCCAGAACTTTAAAGTGCACTTAACTTCATACCGTACTCTGCACAGAACTGGTCTGTCTTGTTGCTTTGAATGACCTTGTTTAAAGATGCTTTCATTTAATGAGCCAGTATTTGTTGTTGCAGCTTGAGCTGTTTTTAAATCTTCATCTTGAATGGTTCTCTGCCAGTGAAAGTTGACATTATAGCTGCCCGCCATTGGCACTCTGAATGTTGAACGTTTGTGTTGGGTTGTTTGCAGTGTAGCATTTATTAATGTTAAGAATGCAAAAGCCAAACAAGTCTGAGATGCACCCACAACACCTGTTTTTCCTTGCTGTATGAAAAGAATAAGTAGGTTAAAGAAAGTGCAGTGCAACTGGACTGTTCTTAAGCTGCAGCTCTATAGAGACTAACCCTTGATGCACAACTTTTCTCTGGGCTCCTTGTGCATTTTCTTACTGCATGGAAAAAAAAAAGAAGTCTTTTAGACTTCTAGATAATTGTGGCTTTTTTGCATATGTCATAACATGAGCTGCCTAAGCTAGTTATTTAATGAACATACCATCGTCTCCCCATTTAGAATGAGTTTCGCCTGCATCAAAGCTGCTCTAGTGTTTTATTAGTGTTCTCTAGGGTTGTAGAGATGTCTGTGGCATGTTTGTATACAAATCATAAAATACACTTCTTTCAGTAGTGGTTTGGTTTTTTTTTTGTAAAGACAGTTTACTCTTGACACTAGCCAAGGAAGCATGTATGGGTGGATAATGCTTACTATAGCTTGTAGTCTACAGCTTGAATTTTGCATCAGTTACTGAAATGCATTTTAATGAAAGTGGGGAACTGCTATAAGTTTAATCAGGAAACAAGCTTCAAGACTTACCATTTTAATTTTAAAAAATGGATCTAATGACTTTCATATTAATATATCCTCAAATGCAGAATTTCATATAGTTTTTTTAGCTTTTTTTTTTTTTTTGAGTGATGTTCAGTGGCACCAGTTAAGCATGCATCTCTGTTAAGGAGTAATCATCACACTACTCTTCTGACCTTGCAAATTTTTGAACTGTACACAGTTTCCAAGTGATAAAATAGAAGATTCATACAAACTGCTTCCTAAAATCAACACTAGAAATCCCATTGCAAAAAGCTGTAAGTATATTGGCTCAGAGGTTTAAGTATTCCTAGACTGATGTGTAGGTAACTGGTTCAAAAAGCATCAGTTTCACCTGACTTCCTGTTGTTATAAAACCACTAGTTTTCCTGTATGTACTGCTCCATAGGGAACTGTCAATCTGTTTAACCTGTGCTCTAAAAATAAAGATTGTTCTATTTCTTAAGGAAACTTGTTCACATTTTTTAACTGATTTGAAAACAGACGTCTTGTATTGTCTTTTTTTAAAGAAAATAAACTCAATGAGTAAGGTGAACTCTAAACAGTCTCTATCTGAGATTCTGTTATATAGCTGGTTTTGTTCTGGTCTGTGAAACAGCATTTAAATTGTGGATGTATTTAACACCTGTGGATGTGGAATATTAATGTGTATAACCTATTATAGAGTGTGGTTGGTTTAGTTCCTTATACACAGTTTACTAAGTATTGTATTCTAATGCAGGGTTTCTGATACTTTAGGTTAAAGATGTCAAAGGAAGCTTTTCTAGCCAGTGAATGATGGGATTTGGGTTTTGGAAGGGGCATTTTGTTTGTTCATTTGTTCCTTGTTTTGGTTTTTTTGTCTGGCTGGTTTTTAAAATTTATTCACCACAGTGTTCTCTCTTCCTTAGCAGATGTTAATAAAACACAAACTTTGGGGCTATTGGTTGAATCTCATGATTGGATTTAAAAGGGAAGGCAGCTTTTATACTGGGGCTAAAAAAAATTTGGGTCAAAATTTCTGACTTTTGAATGGAGACACATTCAGCCACGTCATTCGAAAAAGCTGTTCCTGCTGGCCCTGCTGTGTGTTGGGCTGTAGTTACCAATTCTGCACTTGAAGACACCTCTCTGAAGCTTCTAACCACTATGCAGTAGCCATACCTGGATAGATGTGTGCCAGCAAGGATGGAATGTTCCTGGTATGAAACCTTAACCCCTTCCTCAGCCTGGGAATTGCCTGTAACGGTGCCATAGTGTGATGTGTGCTGCAGCCATCTCCTGCCTTTGAAGAAGAGAGGGAATTTCTGTCACTGCCTGCTGGGCACCTTCATCCTTAGCAAATCCATTCATATTTAGTGTTAGTAATTAGTGACCTATTACCCAGCATCTAGCAAATTGTCTATGTTGGTAGTTAGTGAACAAGATGACTAAATATCAAATGCATGTCTCTCTTTAAGATGTTTAAATATTTTCTCAGAATATTTTGAAATAGCTGTGTAAGGTGTATAGTTCTTTTGGTTTTCTTTTCCTTCCAAGTGTTGCTCTACTCGGCAGTAGTGCCTTCAGATAATCTGCGTTCAGTATTTTCAGCTGTTGAGCCTCCACGTGTTGTTCTCCTTGCCTCTCAGTCAAAGTCTTTGTGTAGCATTTCAGGGAGGGGCCATGCAAGTGTGTGCTGGACTGTCATAAGCTAAAGCAAGACAATACATTTCCCATAATTAATGCTGATTCGGTGAGAAACAGCAGCCAACTTCTGAGGAAGTGTTGACTCTGTGTGATGCTCTGTCCTAATTAAAAACCAACAAGACAGTTTTACCAGGAGTCTGCTTTACGAAACGCAGGCACAAAGTCAGGCACTGTTCAGTGCTGGAGAGCCCAGGCACGGCCTCCTGCCTTACCAAACCTCTCCTGGCACAGGCAGGTGGAGCTCTGCTCTCCTTACAAACAGCTTGTGGTGCCAAGCCCTGCCCCCGAGTTTGAAACCAGTTCCCAGCATGGTTTGCTAATCATTGATGAATGTTTTTACCAGCAAGGAGCTCCTCACATTTTACAACCTGTATGTTAAAAACCACTGTAGTGTTACATATGTCTATTCTGTTCTTCCCTCTGATGTGGATTTCAGTGAAGTCTGTGTAGTTCTCAGCTGAAACTAAAATAACCCTTTTGTATGGAAAATAAAGTTACCCACCCCAACAGAGTCTTTCAGTGTTTTCCACGCAGTGCCTGGAGGCACATTTATCTTGGCCATGCCTTGTAGGTCTTAGTAAGTTTCTGTTTTGTTACTTGGGTTGTCATTTACGTCTTCATGTCTAGAACCCAGGGGAGTGCTGGTGGCTAGAGGGTTGAGAAGACCCCTGGACAAGGCAGTACTGCACCAGTGTGGGGCTTTTGTTGCTTTGTTGCTGCTAACTCTGAGGTGTGATCAGCTAATGCATGCTCAGACTGCTGGTTTGTGCTCACATTTCTAATCTATCCTCTACTTGCTAGAGGAAGCTGAAATTAAATGTGCAACTTGAATGTACAAATCAGAAGTATATTACCAATATAAAGGATGCGTGGAGTAAATGTGTTTCAATAAATCAATCTTTCCATCAATTCTTTACTCAATACTGATTTTACTTTACATGTATTATTGTATCTAATACAATGTAATTTCTCAAAAATGCCTGTTTGCTCCTTGCTTTCTTTGGTTTCTGATGCTTGATTTCCCTTACTAATTTATTCTCCCTTGCTTTTTTTTGTTTGTTTTTCTTCTTTCTGCAGCTGAAGAATGCATTGCTGATTCTGACCTGAACTTTCTTATTCCCATCGCAGTGGGTGTGGCACTTGGATTCCTTATCATTCTTGTCTTTATATCTTACATCATTGGAAGAAGAAAAAGTCGTACTGGCTATCAGTCTGTATAATCTCCTAATTCCATCTCTGTTGCCAACCTTCCCTATTCTTTTCCCTTTCCCAGACTTCCTGACCTGCTCCTTAAAAAAAAAAAAAAAAAAAAAAAAAAAAAAAAAAACCAAATTAGTTCAAGGTTTCTTTATTTAAAAAAGTTCAAATCACTTCATGGCAGAATAACAATCACTTAATGACAGAATAACATGCCATGAGCCTGAACATGAGTTGCAGAAGCTACTGTATGGCTTTGGAGAAAGTGTGTGTTTTGAGGACCAGAGAATTGAACAGAGTTGGTGTGTCCCTGTGGGAAGTGTGATTGTTTTTAGTAAAGAAGACATCTACAAAACTTTCTGTTGTTTAATCTTTTTGTACAAGAAAATTTCTAGATGCCTACAGCTTGTATTGGTTAATGCTACAGCTAAGACTATAATTATAAAGTGTGAATGCTGTGTCAAAAGGGACTGTACATGCAGTGGGAAAATGAATACCCAGCTCTCAACAGACTTCTGTTGGGAGCTTGGCATATGGCTGTTCTTGTGAATCAGCCTGAATTTCCTGTTCCTTCTGCATGTAAAAGTAGTACCTGCTCTCACTAATACCCTGACACAAGATGAGAAGAACATCTGATTCTTCTAGTGAATTAATTTGTTTAACATCATAGGGAGAAGCTGACTGCTAATGTAGGTTGAACAGCTTTGCACTACCCTGGTGTCTAATTTGCCAAGATAAGGTTCAGTCTGGAGAACTTTGGCTACTCAGAAAAGGCAACAGTCTGCTGAAGGAAATGTCTCCTGTACTGTTTTGTTGAACTGCATTTTTCCTTTTGTTCTGAGCTCAACTGTGAAATGAGGGTGGGAGGCTGGAATTTCACTGGCTGCAGTTTCTCTCAGCTTTGATTCTGAGAATAAAAGAAACTACACAGTATTGGTCCATGTGAGGACCAAAAGTATTTTGAGAGCACTCTGACTGAGAACACAGGTTGCTCAGAGATTCCTGCAGTTCCTTTGGACAGCTTGCTTAGGTTAACAGGGCATCACTGAAAAGCTGTGATCTCTGAAAGCAAGTGGAGATATAAAACCTTTCAGGTTTGATAGAATTAATCTGCTTTTAACCTCCTCATTATTGCTGTCTCAGTGTAAGAGCACAAAATGTCTAGCATGAGGAATGCTGATCATAAAGCAGAAATGAATATATGTATAGTGAAGAAAGTGACTTCCAAAGGAATAAGAGCATCTTACCTGGTTGAAGATGCTTTCTTTGTTATTAGTGCCATACCTTTGCAATTCTGTGTTCCATATCTAAACTGAATCAGAATTGAATTTAGTAGTTTGTGGTTGTGTTCTGTTTCATTCCTATTTGGTTCATGTTGATGGAATGAAAGAAGCCTTTTGCTCTTCCTCAAACCTTTTTGGTCCATCTTGGCAAAAGCCTTTGGTAGCCAGTAAACCCTGAGGGCACACAAAGTTTTATCCTTTGCAGCAAGTGTTTACTAAAGCTGTTTCAATATTTAATCTTTGTGCATTGACCCTGTGTCCATGTTGTGGGGAAAGCACCTTCAGTAATCCACGTACACAAAGGTGACAGTCAATACTGATGTTTCAGCAACTCACAATAGCTGTGTGTTCAAGGAAGGGAGTTTTCCAAAGAGTTAGTTTTGATGGTTGAGGAATACCTGTACATTCAATTATTCTTGTCCTCACAGTGACCAAAGATACACTCTACCTGATTCTGACAAAAGTGATTCCAGAGTACAAATGGGCTCTTGGATCAAGTCCTTTTTTTTTTCTTTAGGAATGTAATTCAATGCTGCTGAGTTAGACTGTGTGCTTTAGGTTTGGTTCTCTTGGTCTCTTGTATTGTACCTTTGCTTTTGCAATACTTGATTTCCCTGCCAGTGTTAAATGGAATTATTTCAGGTGGCATTTTATGAGTACACCCACTTGTCAGTGTGGTGCTTCTCTGCTGCCAGCAGACAGCTATGTTTTCATGCTGAGATTGCAGACTGAGGTATTTAATATCACTTTTGCTAGGCTATCTGAGTGAAATGTGGTCGTTTCCTAGATGCAAACACATACATATATATATATATTGTATATACATAGAAAGTATTCTTTTGAGCTTCAACAGAAGTCAAAAATTGATCCGGCACTTTAAGGTTGTTGCAGCATGAAGAGTGGTGTGTACAATTTCCCAGATCTTAAAATGTACAGATATGCTGACAGCAGAATATGTGTATGGAAAATAAAATTTATAAAGCTTTGTTTCAGTGTAAGTAGACATGAATGCCATTTCTGAGAGCTTTTCCAGAGGGATTGTCAATGTGCTTGGATCTGGATGTTTGTGGGGAAACAGAAGCTTTTGCTTCTAAGCTATTCACACATTTACATCCAAATCAGTTGATTTTTGTGATGATTTGGTCAAAGCATGGGTCCAGCATCTGCTAAAGGACCTCCTCTTCCATCAGAATCCTTCCGACAGAGAGGGAATGGATATTAAAGTTTTATCTTGTTGCTAGTGTGGAGGCTGTTAATTTGATAGCATGAGACACAATGAGTATGGTTTCCTTTCAAGACCCCACAAATATAAATGCTTTAAAAGAGCTAAAGCAATTGACAGAGAAATGCTTGTGGGTTTAATTTATTTCTGATGTCAAAATAAGAGCCACTCCCCCAGCAGCATCCTCTTGGCAGAAGCCAGTTTCTGTTGGTCAGAAGATGCCCTGCAGATAATTTGTGCAGGCAGAATGAGTATGTTGCCCTATCAGTGCCATCTGGATAATGACAACTGAGCAGAATTAGTTCCTAAACTACCTCTGGTTCAGGTATTTAATAGTTCTTAATAAATACTTTTTGCCAGATGGTTGGTTGTGATGCTTGGTGAAGAGTGAGTCTTAACTGTACTGAATACTTTGGCCTGGGGAAGCTTATCAAGTGCTCAGAATTCCAGGATGGTGTTACATGCTGCTTGGAAATTCAGTCCCTAACTGGCAGCACAAGCTGCATCTCTTAACGCCAGTGTTTCAAGAATGCCAGCATAGAGTTAATTTTACTGTAGTCACTTTATTTTAAATAGGAAAAAATCACTTCTTAGAAACTGATATAGATCAGGAAATGACAGCAGATTAAGTTCCTTGGTATGGATGTAGGACAAACATACCATAATGCCCCTGTTCAGCAGTAATTTTAATAAGTGTGCTTTCCAGGTAGTACTTTATCCCAAGGTGTCCTGTCCTGCTGTGTTTTGTAGCTCCCAGCAAGCAGAGTGCAGCTGGTCTGTCACATCCCAGGGCTGCACACTGTGTTTCATCAGATTTGGTTGGGGGTGATAAACTGATGCCTTCACTCACCCCAACACTGACCCCTTAACTGTGAAAGGACTGAGCATCTCTCTGCATTTTGCTGCAGCACTGCAGCTGTGACCTCTCTGGGACAGGGAAGAACAGGTCTGAGAGCGTTGGGCACTTCTGTGCCTGATCAGGAGGCACTGCCAACCTGAGAACCGTGGCAGGAGAGGAGAGCTCCTCACTCATCCCTGTCAAAGAGACTGGCTGAGGACTCCTGGGGCAGAGGGAAGTACTGGAGTGAGGAGGAGGGAGGGAGAAATGCATTAATCTTCCCACTTTAGAAAGGAACAGCTGGAAGTGTTCAAGGGCAAACGATTTTCTGTGGCCCTTGCTCAACACCTTGGGTGTGATCCACAAGCTGTGTAAAAAGCTGCAGTCAAGATGCGTCTGGGGCTGGAGATCCTAGAAAGCATTTTGGGAGCTGCCATTTTCACTTTTCCACTCAGTTATTGCAGGAATAATCCAGAATTTTTGCTGTTTATTATTTTAACAAGAATAGTGCTAATAAACTACCTCCTTTTTAGCTTTTGCCTGAGAAATGCACATAAAACTATGCTAAAAAATAAAATTTAAAGCCAGGAAAGATGCATTCCACAGGGATCACTCATAAAAGACCTTATGAAAATAGCATTTGGATACCAGAGGGTTTTTTTCAATCAAAAGTGAAATCTTCTGCAGGTTCTCTCCCCAGGGGAAAACTTCTAATTTTTACTAATAATGATTTACATCAGAAAATGAAAAATGTGGATCCACACTCCATTGTATCTCATTGTTTTCCTAACTATGAACAAAAATAAATTAACAATAATCTCTATGTGCCTGTTTTTCCTAGCAGAAAAAAATGCTGGCTTGATGCTTTAAAAAGGAAAAAGCCTCTGATTGACCTAACCTAAGTGCCTGGTGTTGGCAGGGGCTACTTCCCAATGCTGAGTGTGAAGATGATTCGGCCCAGGAAGCGGTCGCTGTTCAGGTCGTTGATAATTCCTTTCCCATTCAGACTGCACTGGATGGGGACCTGGTAATCCTTCTGCACATCTGTAAAGTGCATAGCCACCAGTGGGGAGGTGTAGTTGACCTGGAAAGAAGGGAGATTTAAGTGTAATTTTTGAGGGAGCAGAAAAGCAAGCAGGCCTTTTATGTTCAGGAAAATAATTTGTAAATGGTTCCTGGCTCCAGGCCTTTCTGTGTCTGTGCCTTAGCAAGGTGGGATCACTACACTTTGCCTCTTGGGGTCATTGCCCAGGACAGCCCCAGACCATGCTTTCTGCTGTCCTAACAACCACACAGTCACACACACTCACTGACACCCACTCACACACACTGAGTTACACTCACAGCTACGCACTCACACACTGCTACAAACACACATAGTTTGTCAGACACAGAAATAGAGCTCTGTAATCTCAGTGCCCAGACAAGCCCTCTGGAAAAGCTCTGGCCTCCGTCCTGCCCACATCTGCCCAAAATAGCCTGACAGCACATCTGGACCCTGTGCAGCAGCTCCTGCCCTCCCATTCCCAAGGAACAGAGATGCCAGACCCTCACTCACGTGGGTGAACTTGCCGTAGTAGGGATAATACATGAGGTCAAACGTCCCGTTCCCGGGGTAGAAGTCCACTGACCTGAGGTGACTCTCATTGCCTTTCTGTGATCAGAAAAAAACCAGAGGCACACACACATAGGACATGGGACACAGAATACAGCTCCCCTCAGAGTTTGTCTCAGAGCAAACGTCCCTTGCCAACCCCTGGCTGTGCTGTGTTTGCTGTGAACACAGTCACTGCCTGCTTCCAGCCAGGGGAGAGTGGAGCTATGGAGGCGTGGACAGGGTTGCAGTTTTCTGCCTGTTGATTCCCTGCTGTGCCTTTGCTCTCTAAGTGTGATCCAGCAGCTGCCTGGGCAGTGGGAGCCCTCCCTTCACCCCACTGCTGTTGGCTTGCAGGGTGCCCCCAGGACTGAGGATGCTGCAGAGCAGCTGGAGATGGGTGTGAGGAGTTCCTACATCTTCCCACTGAGCTCCAGGCTCCAGCTGGGACCTGGCACCAGGCCAACAGGCTGCCCCAGGGGCTGAGCATGGTGGTGCCCGTGAGGCTGCAGGAGCAACTTGGGAAGCAGGAGATTGGTGACCTCTGCCAGTCTCAGCAGACTGGCCTCCAGCTGTGCCCAGACACATGGGCAGCACTGAGTGCTGTGAGTGTCTGGGGCTAAAATGAGGACAAATTGTGCTGAGGTCCATCAGGAGGAGATGTTTGGCCTTGTCCCCACCATGCTGCCGGGCACGGAGGAGAGCAGTACCTGCACTTTGCAGTCCACGCTCACGGGGACCCCGGCGCCAGGGCGGTAGCCTATGATCTGCAACAGCAAAAAACATCCACGCTTGTGTGAAACACAGCGCCCAGCACGTGCTGCCTCCCTTCTCCAGAGCTAAAACCTTTCTGGGTGCCAGTCACATTGCTCAGGACAGGAGCTGTGTGTCCCTGCAGCAGGGTCTGCCACCCCACACCGTGCAACCTGCCCACGGCTGAGTGCCAGATTGGTGCCTGAGAGCAGGGGCAGAGCAGAGAACACAGAGAGGGTCCAGACCCCCAGGAGTAACACAGCCTCTTCCCCACATGGTTCTCACCCTCCCCATGCTTATTTTTCCAGCGGTGAGCACTGAACATCCATGCTATTAGACTTCAATTAAATTGAATTCAAAGAAAACTCGCATTGTAGAGCATCTAGGGTCTGGGTTACCCTAAAGCTCAGTTCCTTATGAAGAAGGGTTTGGCAGAAGATTCTCCAAGCACTAAGGCCTTAGCAAATCAAATGGAGCAAGTTTTATGGAGTTGTTTTTTCTTTTTTTTTTTTTTTTTAATGTTTTCTAGCAGATATGGCCTGCAGGTTTGGGGATTCTAGTTCCCTTTTTCTCTGGGCCTGAGAAGTGAAGGAGTTTCAGTCCCTGTGTGGTCTTCATCACACTGAATGCCCCAAAGGAAGGAAATAAAACAAGCAGCTTTCTCTGTACCCGGTTCATCTTCAGCAGGATGCAGGGCTGGCCTTTGGAGTAGCCAAAGGTTGGGTCCTCGATGCCAGAGCAGTTCTGCAGCAGCGAGCGCTTGAACTGGCAGGCCTTCTTCTCCTCACTCTCATTCCCTGCTTGGATGAAGTACTGGCCTGGGACACACTCAATATTCTTCTCCTCCTGAACTTTGTCATCATAAGCTGGTGAGGACCAAGAGACTTGTTAAAAATCCCCAAGAGCTGCACAGACCCAAACTCTCAGAGAAATCCACATGTCAAGGGCATTAGGAAGTCAGACCTGGAAAGGGAAAGCTCCCATGACTTTGTGAGCCTCCCTTTCCAGATGTAGCTCATGAGGTGCCCAGGAGGAGACCCCTGCACCACATGCCTGTATCCATGGATAAAAGCAACCTCACTGTGGCTCCCAGGGTGACAAAGAGCTCACCTGCTAGGAAGTGGTGCATGCTGTCCACGTAGGGCTGCCATGTGTTGGGCTGGGAGACATTGAAGGCAATGGTGAACCCATTCAAGTATGGTCTGATCATCACTCCTGAAGAAGGAGACAGACCCTGGTAAGGCAAATGTAGGTGGAGCAGCCGTGGGCTTGGGCTGTATGCTGCAGGGCTGGTGCATTGTGGCTGGGCTTGGGCCAGGCTCAGGCATGAGAGAGGCTGCACCAGCTCACAGATCAACTCTCTCCTCAACCTCATTTCACCTTCATTTCACCCCTAGAGAACACCATACAGGTCAAAATTATCTCCCAGAAAACATGGGAGATATGGAGAGCCTCAGTAGTGCTGTGGGGTAGTGATGGGCTTGGGGTTGCACAGAGTGGCTGCAGGTCCCCCATGTTGCCATCTGTGTGGGTAGTTCCAGAAAAGGATCAGGGCAAGGGGCCCTTCTGTTACCCACCGACACAAAAACACAGGGAAAATGCTGTGTCTGACATAGGGAAAGGATTTTCGGAACATTCTCTTGCCAGAACTCCCCCAAATAATAATGCATAACAGCGACTCTTGATTTGCATTTTATTTTGAAGGCATGAGGTATTAATGGCCAGCAGCTGAAATGCATCAGCATCACCCATGAAATACCTAAACTTGGCTTTTGCCTTGAGAATAATGATAACAATAAACAGTGCAATGAGAATAACAATTACTATCATCAGGGTGAATGCTTCTCATGGGGCTTTTTAAGATGTCTGCTCCTCTGCAGAGAACCTGCAGCTCTGCAGCTCTCTGAGGTGAGAACACCCCGTGTTGGGGAGGGCTGGGTGACTGTAGGAGTGCACAGCTCCAGCAGGGCTTTGCCTGAGGTGCCAGCAATGCCATTTTGGCAGGACACTGATGGGCAGAGGTGCCATCTGGCTGGGGTACGTACCTGGTGGAGACACACGGTCCCGGAACCTGGGCGTGTAGGGGCTCAGCGTGAGCAGCATCACATACAGGCAAAAGGCAAACATTCCCGCCAGGCACGTGTAGAAAATGAAATAAAACAGTAAGATCAAGCCTGCAAAACAGACAGGCATGTCGCTGTTAAGGCAAGCAGAGCACATCCCGTGGGATGTGTCCCGCAGGGATGCACAGACGTGCTCAGCACGGCGTTCTCTGCAGCTGAGTCTGTGGTGGAGGTGGGAGCTTCAGCCCAGCCCTGCACACAGACTCTGGTGTTTGTGGGTGCAGGACTCAGCTGCTCCAGTGCAGGGGTAGCAGCTGTTTGGTTCTGTATCCCTTTGGCTGCATGGCTCTTCCCAGAGCTGTGTCAGGACCAGGTCTGTCTGTCCACCTGCTTCAGCTCTCTCCAACAGACAGACCCAACATTCCTCCTGGCCTTCCCACCCCCTCCTGGCATGGTAACATGCAAAGGTGTCCAGTGGCTTCAGCCAAACTCCTGATGGGGCTGTGGGGCGGTGTTCCTGCCCTGATGCCTGTCCCCTGCATGGGAGGGACCCTGGTGCTGGGACTGAGCAAGCAGCATCGCTCAGGGCTGCAGCACCACTCTCTGTTTCATAGCCCAGACATTCAGGGAATGGGTTTGTTTTTCCTCTGGACCAGGCTGATGGCTGAGGATGTCTCAAGAGGCCACAGCCTATGAATAAAACCCAGCAGCTCAGAAAGCAAAGTGAATCCCTAACCCAAATATTTCCCAGGAGAAACGTTCCGGCAGCTTGGAGGGAGCCCTGGGAACACAGATGTGCTCTCCTGCCGAGTTTCTGCCAGGGCCACCGTGCTGGGAACTGCTGTGGGGCTGTGTCCTGCTGGGGGCTGAGCCAGGGCTGGTGGCACACAAGGGACAATGTCCAGCCCTGCCAGAGCGATGCTGGTTGTGCCTCTGCCCCAGCCTGGCAGCAGAGTTGGTGCTTCTTGGGACATCTTCCTGCTACTGCTGCCATTTTTATGTTTCCTGCAGTGCAGCAGGGAGTGTTGTCACCAGCAGAGAGGGGGGTGCAGCCTTTCCCGGGGGCTGGGGCCTCCAGTGATGACCTTGTGGCAGTTGTCTCCCTGCATTTTGTGAGTGCAAGTCCCCTGAGCCCCCATTTCAGGGGACACCTTTAGAGCCAGCAGAGGGGAGCAGCCCCAGGCTGGGCAAATTCCCTCCTCCCCACCCATGAGCTGAGAGTGGGAAAGTTCAGCTCCACTCACCTCCAAATGCTCTCACTTTAAAATAAATTTTGATTTTCGTAGTAGCTTCTCCTGCCCTCACGTAGAGACATGTGAGAACACGTGTGTGCACCAATGGCACGTGTGTTCATGGACAGGGGGGTCACACAGCAGAGCACAGTGACCCCAGGGGACAGGAGGATGCTGCCCCCACCCCAGTGCTGCCAGCACTGTCAGCAGGAGCCTGCCAGGGTCACATCCACAGCACACTGAGCAAATCCTCTCACAAGGATCTTCTCAGGACCTGGAGGAGCCTCCAGAAAAACAAACCTACATCACTAAGGACTCACCCTACTGCTCCCACACTTTGGTCTGTGCCTTCCCATCCAGGAAAGAAGCAGAAAAAACTGGTCTGCCTCTGTGGCCAGCAAAAGGCACAGGAGTGAATGAATGTCAAGGTCTGTTCCAGACTCATGCTGGCAGGTTTTCAGACTCCTCTGGTGCTGGTGGGCAGCTTCCTTTGTTCCTCCCAGCTGCCAACACAGGCTTTGCAGAAGACCCAGAGCTCTTGGCAGGGGCATGGGAGGGCTGTGGGGCTTGTGGTGCATTGCCAGTGCCAGCCAAGGGCTGCAAACACCGAGCAGCAGCCCCTGGTAGTTCACAGCCTTACACTGATGGGCATGCAGGTGGCTCTGGATCAGGCTGGGATTTTCACTCTGCCAAGGGGGCTGGGTGCTGGCAGAACAGAGCTGCAAAGATGGGTGCCACCCCATGTGCTTGTAGCACCTTGGTTTTGGACCAAGCCTGCAGCAGCACTCACCCCACAGGCTGCTCTTAACCACCCAGGCACCTCCAGACTCAGCAATAATTTTTGAAGGGTACATGGATGTGGATAAAGCAGACAGGGCACTCAGAACCATCAGAGATGGCACATCCCAGTCCACTGGCTCTGAGAGCACTGTGGGTCCTGCTGTGGGCCCCTGTCACTACCTGGAAGCTGTGGGGTGACAGTGCTGACCAGCTCTTCCCTTCCCTTCCCTTCCCTTCCCTTCCCTTCCCTTCCCTTCCCTTCCCTTCCCTTCCCTTCCCTTCCCTTCCCTTCCCTTCCCTTCCCTTCCCTTCCCTTCCCTTCCCTTCCCTTCCCTTCCCTTCCCTTCCCTTCCCTTCCCTTCCCTTCCCTTCCCTTCCCTTCCCTTCCCTTCCCTTCCCTTCCCTTCCCTTCCCTTCCCTTCCCTTCCCTTCCCTTCCCTTCCCTTCCCTTCCCTTCCCTTCCCTTCCCTTCCCTTCCCTTCCCTTCCCTTCCCTTCCCTTCCCTTCCCTTCCCTTCCCTTCCCTTCCCTTCCCTTCCCTTCCCTTCCCTTCCCTTCCCTTCCCTTCCCTTCCCAGGGCTCATTGGGGCGGGGAGGGCTGCTCTGCCCCATGGTGTGCACAAAACACCTGTCCCCAGCCCGGGCATTCTTCCCCCACCAACCTGATGACACCAAAGCCGCTGTCCCAGGTGTCCCCGACCTACAGAGGCAGGGGCAGGAGTGCTGGTGGCAGCAGGGGTGCACAGCTGCAGCAGAATGACCTGCAGCTCCCATGCTTGCTCAGGCTCTAAACTTCTGTCTGGGACACAGCCTGGGCAGCCTGAAATCTTTGCTTTTACTCTCCCTCAACATTAACCTCCCGACCGAGGGTAACTTTTACATGGTTTTCTGCTTGTCCTCCTCACTAGTTATTTATTGCACTAGTTAGAAACATTAACACTAAAGAAATGGGCAGGGGTGGTCAGTCCAAGCTATCAAGGACATTCACAGGCAAGTGAGTCTGTTGTGAAGCAGAAAAGGCAACAACCCCCAAAAGTGGGGCTTGAGCAAGGACCTACCCCAGCTCTTGGCTGTTCTCCCCAAGCATGTTCTCTCCTCCGGGTTCCACAAGAATATCTTCATCTCCCCAGCCAGGTCTGCCCAGGTTTTGCTCCCCATGTCTGCCTTAGGCTCGTCCTTCCCTCTGTTAGGATCCTGGACCTTCTCCTCATGCTTATTTTCCTGGAAGAGTTGCAGAACACAACCCCCACAGGCAAGCTGAACTTCTCATTGGCCAAAAATAAATGCAAAAGCACTTAATATCTGGAAATGTTTCAAATTTCCATTTTCCCATCATCACTCTTGAGTTAAAGAGAGGCAGTTTTGGCTGTTCCAACTTAAGATTACTTAGAACCCAGCATCCATTTTTCCATTACATGTACGTGTCACTGCTGTCACACTGGGCACTGTCTCCTTGTGCTGGCACTTACAAAAACTCATCTTTTTCCACCTGCATGAGCATGACCAGAGAAAACCTGTGGTCTGGGAAGGCTGGGACTGTTCCCACACTTCTACAACATCTCTGAGTTCAAGTACACATTCTCTGTGCTGCCACAGATGATAGCAGGCAGCACTATTTAAGAGATCAACCAGCTTGTTTTCCTTGGCGTGTGAGCAAGTATTCAGCCTTTGAAGAAATCTCTGTCTTTGAAAAAATCTCTGTGTTGTTACTTTTTTAATTACACCGAGTTCCAGGGAAAAGCATCTCCCCAGGTTGCAAGAGTTTGTATTTTGCCTAAGGGGTGAAAACTTTTTTGTCCAGGACTCAGGAACACAAATCCTGTGCCTGGGCAAGAGCCACTTGAGACACAGAAGCCGTCCTTGATGCCCCTTGGGTCCGGGCTGGTGGGAGAAGGTGCTGACCTTGCTTTCAGCTCGGGGCAGGGCTGGGCCAGGCACCGCCAGGGAGAAGGGCAGTGCTGTCACCTGGATGGCCTCGTCACCTCCGGAATTTCAGGACAAACGCCGCTGCGGGGCTCAGCGGTCCGGTCCGAGCCGCGCCCGCCGGGACCAGCGGCGGCTCCGGGGCTGCTGTGCCCGCCCGGACACGGCCCCGCGGCAGCTCCGGGACCGTCCCTGCGAGTCTGTGCTCAGCGAAACCTGCCGGCCCCGGGCACTCCCGGAGCCAGCGCCCACCCATAAGATATTTCCAAGTGGGTTGTCCCGGGTCGTGGCCGACAGCTTGGCGAAAGCCTTGCTTGGAAACAACTTTGAACTGGGGTCGAAAAATTGAACTCTGCTCAGACACACAAATACTGCAACCCAGTGAGAACGGGGGGAGAATTCTGCCTCCAAAGCCTGAACGTGTCCCGTGGGGAACCGGGGCAGAGCGGGGGCTGTAAACCGAGCCCATCCCTCTGCCTGCCCTGCTCTGGGGAAGCCCCGGTGGGGCTCTGTGGGGCTCACTCTGGGGCTCTGTGGGGCTCTCTCTAGGGTTATGTGGCGGCTCACTCTGGGGCTCTGTGGGGCTCTCTCTAGGGTTATGTGGCAGCTCACTCTGGGGCTCTCTGGGGCTCTCTGTGGGAGCTCTCTCTGGGGTTATGTGAGACCCCTCTCTGGGGTTATGTGGGAGCTCTCTCTGGGGTTATGTGGGAGCTCACTCTGGGGCTCTGTGGGGGCTCACTCTGGGGCTCTCTGGGGTTATGTGGGAGCTCACTCTGGGGCTCTCTCTGGGGCTCTGTGGAAGCTCACTTTGGGGCTCTCTGTGTCAGAGCGCTGCTGCCAGAAAACTCCCCCGGCCGCCTGCACAGCCGAGGCCGCCCTTGGCACAGGCCCCACACCCGTCCCGAGCCAGCCCCTGCCCGCCTGAGGAGCAGGGTACACCGGGTACAGCGCTGACGAGAGCAGCGGGTTTTGGAGCCAGGAAGCAGCAGCCCCAGCACGAGTCACCAGCAGGACGTGGGACAGAGGTGCGGGGGCTGTACCCTGCCAGGACACTCACAAGGAACAAGTGACCAGCGAAGAGAGGGAAGAGGAGGTGTTCTTCTTCCTACTATCCCTATTATTAAATAAAAGAGCTACCAGGAGATGTTTTGGAAACATTTCCTCGGACTGCCAGAGTAGGGGACACTGCCCAGATGAACTCCACACTGGTGCTTAGTGCTGCACTGGGGAAAGCCCTTTGAACCTCACACAGACTTCTACTGGAGGCTGCAAGAGCCCACACTCAGAACTTGCTGCCAGTGCTTAGAGCTGTGGAAGGTGACAGGGGACAGCTTCCCCTGTCATGGGACCTCACCCTGGGAACTGAAGGAGGCTTTTGCAAGGGGAGAAGTTTCCAGCTCTCCTGTCTCTATGGTCTGTGACCCTTCACTAGGCGAAGGATCCTGTCCTGCTGGCCAGGAAAGGCCAGGGCTCCATGGGCTCCATGGCAGCCCAAGGACACTGAAGAAGCCCCAGGCTCACCCGTGGGTCTCTGTGGGGCAGCTGGGCAGGATGGGATGATCCCAGTACCAGGTACCTGGCAGATGTCTCTCAGCTAGGGAGCTAGGTCAGGTCTGGAATGAAGCACAGGTTTTATCTTTGCAGCCCAGGACAGAGACGGTCTTGGAACAGTTCCTTGCACCTGGACAAGGGACAGGAGTGGCAGGATCTGGGACAGGAGTGCAGTGGGGCAGGGAGAAGGCAGAGCCACAGCAGGGTATGTTGGAACATTGGGCAGCCCTGAGTCACTGCCTGCTGTGACAGCTTTGGAAGTAAATCTGGAGTTCATCTCTGGCAAAATCAGTCTGTGCTGACTGTTGTGGGTGTCCTGGGGGTGGCCATTTCCCCATTCTCACCTCAGACCAGGTAGGCTCTCAGTGTTGGATTCCTCCTGCTGAAATCCAGGTGTACAGAGGCTCACCCTGCCCAGGTGTTCCTGTCCCTTCTAGTCCCCCTCACCACCCAGCACCCCTGGCCAGACCTGCCATTGCCTTCCCCCCATACAAAGTGCTTTGCCTGAGAGACAAAACAGCATTTCCTAAAGCAAATTTATAAATCTACCAGCCACAAAGCAGGTCCTTGCAGCAGCTTCCACCTCACCTTGTGAAATGAGGCTAGTAGCCCCCAAAATACTCACCAGCTTCTGGCTGGGGCTCCTGAGCTGGACCTCCATGCCACTGGTGCTGGTGTTCCTGGCCATTCTTGGGTGGGAAACACAAAAAAATTGTGAGTGTTAGCACAGCAGCACTGGCTGCCGTGTGTGTGCCATGTCGTGCTGGCTCTCAGAGCCTCACAGACAGACAGAGCCCCCTCCCCAGCACTGCTTGCCACCCTACAGCACCCCATAAAACAGCAGCTATGCCGAGACTGTGGGGAGCAAGGCTGCTTTCCCTCCCTACCCTGCAGAACCTTGCTGTTCGGGAGTGGATCAAAAAATAACTTGCTTTCCTAACGGGGTTAAGCTCAACGCAGCGGGATCCTATCTTGTGTCCTCTGGCATCTGGTGCCCTTTGCAGCACCCTCACTGCATCTTGCCTCATATTTGAGGTTCCATCACTGCCAGCCAACGCCCTACATGGGGAAGCCAGGCTCTTCCCCCGGGAGACCGTGTAGCTGTGAATAAACATTAACAAATCGCTGGGGCTTCCTATGGCGAGAAGTGTCGGTCAATGTGTGCTTGTCAGTCACAGAGGGTGAAATTGCGAAATCTCTTCTGCGGTGAAAGGGGTAGGGAGAGGGGCAGGCAGGTCTATATTTATCCCTGAGAACAGACAGGAATTCACAGCGCCGGTTTCCTCGCCCCAGTTTTAAGAGCTACCCACAGCCTCTCAGACGAAATCCAGAGGCACACTTTGCCGTGCCACCCTACGAGCCGGGGCTGGGCAGGCTCAGATTTTCCTCTCAGTGAATTTCAGGCAGGAGATGATGCACTGGGGCAGCCGGGTGCTGCTGCACTCCTGCTGCTGGAGCAGCTCCAGCGCTGCGATGGCAGCGTGCGGGGACTGCCCGTCCCTGGCTGTGTCCACGCAGCTCTCGAGGAACAGTGGGGCTCGTTTTACACCTCTGTCCCAGCCTGACTTCGGCACCATCCACCTGCTCATTCTCTGGGCCCCTTTCCAATGGGAGCGGTGCTTCCTTTCGCCAGAGAGCCAGGCCGTGTTCAAGGGTGGGGAAAGGCTGCCTTGCCCCAGGCTGGGACTGTGCCCGAAGCCTCGGGGACGTGTCCAGCTCCCGCAGGGCTGCACGGTGCCATCCCAGCCGATAAAGCACCATTTATTTCTCCCTTTCCTCTCCCGAGCGTGGCTGAAAGCCGCTCACCGGCTGTGCTAATAAATGGGCGCAGCGGGAAACAAAGAGGTCTGGCAGCTGCCCCGGGCTGCGCAGGGCTGGCCGGGGCTGCCGCTCGCCTGCCGCTCGGTGCCGGTGCCGGTGCCGGTGCCTCCCGCAGCCAGCCCGCCGGCAGCTGTGCCCACAGCTGTGCCCACAGCTGGATCCCCTGGCCAGGCTGGCGCCGTGGGGCAAGGGTTGTCTTCCCGAAGCTCGGGAGGTGGAATGGGATGCAGGCTCTCGCATCGCTGTCAGTGTACACTTTCCCTTTTCTCCTTGGAGAAGCCGGTCAATAGGCTCTTACCCAGTGAAAGTGTGGGGTTTTTAAAGCAGAGGTAGTATTCGTTTCTTTTAAGTCTATGAAATAATGCTTGAAATAATTACATTATTTGTACTTAGCACCTCTCAGCCCAGGGCATTAGAGTGATTTACAAGCAATTATGAAGCCTGCTGGGAAGATGCTTTTATCCCCACTTTGCAGACAGGATGTGGAAAACAGAGTTTGAGGGCCTGTTCCTGCTCCTTGGCCATGGACACGGAGATTGCAGATGATTGCCGTCTCCATGGAACAGGGCACAGGCAGCAACAGGCATTGCCGCCGGAGCGGAGATCTCGGAGTGCCGAGAAATGAAACGCTGGCCCGGGGGCGGTGTCGGGGTGGCTGCCCGGGACTGTAATTTGCACCCCAGGGAGGAGGGAGATGGGGAGAACGGGGCAACAGAGAGGTGCCAGGGAGATTTTGACAAAGGACAGAATGTCCTGGAGGAGCTGGACTGGAGGAGGGTGGGAGCTGCTGAAGGCAAGGGGATGGAGAAAGATGGGGAGAGAGGGGGAGAGCCCCTGTGGCCAAGCTGCCGGTGAGCGCGCCGCGATCTCCCGGAGGCGGGACAGGAGCTCTGTCCTCTCCGGAGACGGGGCGGGAGCTCCGTGCCTCCCTCCCGAGCCCCCGGGGAGAGGTGTCCGCGCTGGCTCCGGCGAGGTGCCGGTGCCGGGCGGCCGCTCCGGCCGGGGCCGCGCGCCGCCGGTGGCTCGCGGGGAGCCGCGGGCGGAGCGGAGCGCGGCGCAGGCGCGGCGGGGCCGGTGCCGGTGCCGGGGCTGTGCCGCCGCCGTGGCCCGGCGGCTGCGGCGGGAGCGGCGGCAGCATGCGGCAGTCCCTGACTCAGCAGCGCCCGGCCGGCGTGGCCCTGCCCGACTCCGTGGGTGAGTGCCGGACCGGGGGGGATCCCGCTGCGGGCCGCGGGGCCGTGCGGGGCCGTGCGGGGCGCCGCGTCCCCGGGGACCCCGCCGGGGCTGCGGCGGCCGGGCCGCCCCCGCCGTTCCCCCCGCCCGCCCGCCCGCCGAGCGCGGCTCCGGCCGCGAGTCCCGCAGCCCCCGGTGCTGGACCGGCCGGACCCGCGCGGGTCAGCCCGGACGGAGGCGGCCGCGGCCCCGCAGCAGCGCAGCATCCTTCGGAGCGGGCGGAGGCGGCCGCTGCCCTCCCGCGCCCCCACGGAGGTCGAGGTCCCCCGTTCCTACTCGCGGGGTCCCTCCTTGCAGCGCCCCGCCGCCCTGAGCCCCGCAGCCCCCGCCCGTGCGCGCCGGGCCCGCAGTCGGAGCCGTGGGGTCACAGCTCCGCTGACGCGGTTTTAGCAGAAAAATGGGACCAAAGGAGAGGGGCTGGGAAGAGGGAGGCTCGGCGCCATCTGCCCCCGGTTCTCCCGGGTTAAAAGTTAGAGCTGGCTTCTTCCTTGAGCTGCTACTCTGTGCCTATTCTTCGCTTCTGGCTTTTCCCCCAAAGAACAAGATGGAGAAGTCGGTCGTGTTTCTGTGCCATCTTGTCCATTTTCTTCTAATAATCGTGAAAAAAAAAAAAAAAAGTGAATCAAGGGCAGTTCAAATATATGCATTATTGCAAACTTTTAAAGTAATCTGTAAAAAGCTGCTACAGCCTTGTCTTTAGAGTGGCTTATAAGGCAAATATAACAAGAGAATGTTTCTGATGCTTAAAAGAAAAACAATCATTCTAAAACTAGTGTCCGTTTGGAGTGCCATTTTAGCAAAAGCAATAGCCAGGCTATGGATAGCATAAATCTCTTTATAGCTCCCTAACAGAGTCAAGCACAGTGTTTTGGATCATCCTGTCTACTTATGTTGTGGTAAGCACTGCAAGTTTTGGGGTATCTGTTTGGGATAAATCACAGAGAAAAAGCTATTAAGATCTCTTAAAAGCAGAGATAGCAAAGCTGCCGTAACTCAGCTTCTGTGCATAGAACTATACCAACCTCGGGAGCACAGAAGAAAATGATCTGATGGGGAATACTTTCAGCAGAAATTAATGTTGAGGGAGAGGATTTTGTCAGAGCAGCCCTTCAGCAGCTATTAGAGAGATACTGGGTTATGAGTCCGTGTATGCTGAAGCAGCTGCAGGCATCCTTACAGAAGTACAAAACCACTTTCTCTCTACACGCATAGCAAGGTGTTTTCAGAGAAGGAAAAAATGTAATTAATATCCCAATACAGAGCTGAAGTGAAGCTAGTCACATTATTCCTCAGCTTCACGTCTCTTTTCAATATCAAGTTAGAAGATTATGGCTAGTTTTGTCTGAAATTGAAATAAAAGCTTTTAATTTTTTTTTTAATCTTATGAGGAATACTGAAAAGCTTTGAGAAATTTTCCAGTTGAAACCTTATGTTTCTGTTCTCTATTGAATGCTGGCATGTGTCAGTCCTAAACTGGGAAACAACATAGAAATTAAGCGTGAAAAACACGGTGGTGCTGAAACAAATAAAGAGTCTGTAAATGGTGTTTTGAGACGCTCCTTTTAGAGTGGTTTTCGTGGTAACTTTTTGCAGCATTTGTAATGGCAGTGCAGGAGCACTGTTTGGGGTGTGTAAGAGCTGTGCCCGTGTGCCCACAGCCCCCACCCAGACATCTGCACCCCCCCCAGCCCATCCCTGTTTAAGGAACACGGGGCTGGACTTATTTACCCTCTGCTCATTTGCCAGCCAAACCCTGGCAGTAATCAGGAGTTTGGTAATTCTGTGGAAGCAAGATGGATTCATCCTTTCTCGCCTTTCAGAACTAATCTATGTAAGAAACAGCAAATTTTCTCCAGTTTTGGTTCCACTGTTACAGACTTTTAAAACGTTTATGGGACACTTGCATTTAAATGGTTACATTGAAACTGAAGTGTGGCATAATGATAGTATTTGTGAGGCAGTACGTACAGAATGGTTTCATCTCTTAATGATTTTTGAATGATTTAGAAGCCTAGATTTTCTATTATTAACTTATTTGGCAGATGTAGGAGAATAACCCCAAGCAAACAGTCACATACCTTTATCTCTAGCTGTAAAACACGGCTTGAAAGACTAAGGATCATTGATAAAATATGCAGCCTGAATCTTGGGGTTCTCTAGAAGCTATTTAATATGTTTTTGTTTGAAATTAGCAGCTATCTAGCTATTTATTCCAGCTAAGGGCTAACCAGTTGTCAGGCTCCTTGCTCTTAGGAGCAGTGATGTCCCAGTGGTGCAGTCAGACCTGTGCTCTGGAACATGAGCAGAAGGTTTGTGGGTGGAGAGCTTTCCTTCCAGAGGCAGCAGGTCAGTCAGAAAGGATGGTGCTTTTTTTTGTAAACCTCTCTTGCCTTTCATGTTGGACTAAATGACCTCCAGTGGTCTTTTCCAACCTTACCCTTGTGCGATCTTGTGCTCTCCTTCTGTTGGGCTTTTGAGCCCCAAGTTTAGCCCTTGTCTGTGATTTCAAGCTCATCTGTGGGTGAAATGATCCAGCCCCGTGCCCGTGGCAGCTGTGCCAGCCCAGAGCATGGAGAGGGAGCCGTGCTGCCAGCTGCACAGCTCCTGGGTCAGGCTGTGGAGGAGCAGGGGGAGCTGCTGTGCTTTTCCCTGTGGAAGAAGGGAGATCATTTGCAGCAGCGTGTGTGGGCTGGTAGGCTGCATCATTGTTGGGGTGAAAGTATCTCTTTATGTGCTGGGCATAAAGAGATCCTACAGAAGGGCCTGTAGGCACCTGGGGCATGCATCTCTGAGACTGACAGCGCCCAGCAGGGCTCAGCGTGCTCCTCTTTCTGGAGAATTTGGACAAGGAGGTTGTGCTTGGCTTGACCAAGTCTTCCACCAGGGCCCTTCTGCAGGTGTTTTATCTTGCTGTGCACAGGCTGCCATGGAGCTCCTGAGCGCCTGGGGATTCCCAGTGTGGTTTGCTTTAGGGAGTGCACTCTGCAGTGCTGAAAGCTGCTCCTTGCCCTTG